AGTGAGTGAGTGAGTTGGGTTTAACGCCTTTTGAACTGTATTCCGGTTATAACGAAGCAGTTTAATATGGGCGGAAAGCTCACCTTCGTAAAGTGAGTGAGTGAATGAACTGGGTTCAATGTCACCTTGACCTGTATTCCAGTTATATAACGAAATGTCAGTTTAATGTAGGAAGAGAGCACGTATCACCCACAGTTAACGCGGCTTTGAACATTATTTTAATTGAATCAGCGGGCAGATGGACATAAAAAGCAAACTTTGCTTGTTTGAGAATACATTGTACATCTTAGGTGTTAAGTGTAGGTGCACTTCAAACGCGTCATTCTGTTTGTTTTTTTCAAAACGCAATTATTTTGCAGAAATGAACCTAGTCTGTCTAACAGTCCCTGAACCACATTATTTTCTTAAATGACTAACCCTCCCTGCAATACTAAAGCCCTAAATGGAGCAAGTCTAGATTTCCCCAGGTACTGAATCTCCCAACTCTCTGGAGCTCCTTTTCAGTTTAAATGGTTTTGATTGTTACTGTCAAAATTACATATATTCAGGGACTAAGCGTTAGTCTATAATGAACCATTTGTTGGCAATTATTCATTTTCTTGAACCAACAGTTCGAATAAGTTAAAAAGACGAAACTGTTTCCAATTTTAGACACTCAAATGAATTATTTTTTAGAGGAAAACGTGTCGCCAGCGGGGCTCAAAGCATATTTCCTGGGCATCCTCATCAACCATGACAATCCAAAACCTATTTCTTGTTTGCTTCTCTATAGCCACCATCAAACACTGGTTTATACATTCTGTTGTAAGAGTGAGTGAGTGAGTTTAGTTTTACGCTGTTTTCTAGCTATATATTTTAGCATTAACACAGCTGGGGACACCAGAAATGGGATTCAGACAGTGTGCCCATGTGGGGAATCGAACCCGCGTCTTTATCGTGACATGCGAATGCTTTACCCACTAGGCTACCCCATAGCACCTCACAATTTACTGACCCGTGAAGATCCGGGGTAGAATAGGTCTTCAGCAACCCATGTGCTTGCCATAAAAGGCGACTATGCTTGTCGTAAGAGGCGACTAACGGGATCGGGTGGTCAGTTTCGCTGACTTGGTTGACACATGTTATCGGTTCCCAATTGCGCAGATCGATGCTCATGCTGTTGATCACTGGATTGTCTGGTCCAGACTCGATTATTTACAGACCGCCGCCATATAGCTGGGATATTGCTGAGTGCGGCGTAAAACTAAACTCACTCACTCACTCACTCACAATTTACTTGCGAGATGGCATCAGGTCGAAAAGACTGACTTACTATTCTTTTAGAGAAACACGTATTATTTCCAATAACTTGTTAAAAATATATGCAAATTCAAATTCAACTTCTAAAAAACTGGAGATAAAAGTAATCATGTTACAATTACATTCGATTGTGAAATATATACATGCAATGTGGTAAATCATACCCAAGTAACATAGCTGTGATGTCTTTAAAGAATTATGTGTGTCCGTCTGTTTGTCTGTTTTATGTGTATGGGTCGTATTAAGACTAATGCAAGAAACTGCCATCGTGGGTTCGATTCCCGGTTCGCCCTGATCACTGGTTTTGCAGGGCCCCGTTCCTCAAAGCGATTGTAGCGCTACAACAGTCGTAAGTCTATGTTAAAGTATGGGAGTTACGATCATCGTAGCGCTACGATCGTTCTGAGGAACGGGACCCTGGACCATAACGTACTCGTGAGTTTCACGAAAGTGGTAAAAGTTCAAAAAATGCATCACTTCCAATAGTCTTTTCACATCAACTTTACACCAAGAGATGTAACTCATATACCGTTAAAAGCGGCGTGAAAGAAAACTCTTTCTCGTTCTATTTAGGGTACAATGTGTGAAGCACTTTTCTCGCGTCACCCATCGTGATATTGCTGAAATGTTGCTAAAAGCGGCGTAAAATTACACTCTCTGACTCTCTTTAAATCATCGTGAGTGAGTGAATGAGTTTAGTTTTACGCCGCACTCAGCAACATTCCAGTTATATGGCGGCGGTCTATAAATAATCGAGTCAGGACCAGACAATCTGGTGATTAACAGCATGAGCATCGATCTGAGCAATTTGGAACCGATGACATGTGTCAACCAAGTCAGCGAGCCTGACCACCCGATCCCGTTAGTGGCCTTTTACGACAAGCATGGGTCCCCCCAAAAAGACAAGTCTGCACTGGGCAAGTGCATAAGTCACAAGTCAGTCATAGAAGACAACGAATAGCCCTTCTCGCACGCACATAGGTAACCAAGCTTTCTATATTCTAACCCGGACCTCTTTAAATCATATGAATCTACTTCACACTAAGGCGTATTTCGGTGGTGGGTTTCGACAAAAAGCCAGTCAACGGTTGTATCAAGCCGTTTATATGTGAGCGTTGAGCTTCAATGATTTTACACGGGCTTCAACAGCTAACAAGTCACTAAAATACTGTAAAAACACGGTATTCTTTCTTATTTAAAATAAACTAAGATTGTATATTTTTAGAATTTAAAAACTAATAACATTACAATTTGATTTCTCCTAATTTAAACATATGTATAAACATAGATGGCGAGATATGTATATACACCGTACGAGAGTTTAACAGGATTATCAGGTATCAACAGCAAATTCGCAACTACATGTATTGTTTAACTTTCTAGAAACATTTCGGAGCTATTTCTGAATGAAATTCGAACTAATCAAAACTTAACTAGCCTACAGCCTCGTATTCAAAATGCCAAGCGTTTTGACGGAGCGTGCCGGAAGCACAGACGGTAAAACATACGCAAACGTTTCATAGACTTTTAGTAGTAGTAGTTCATTGGAGTGTTTCCTGTTTCAAAACAAAAGTTTGACAACTCGTCAATGTAATGTACTTGTGGTTTCTTCAATTTCCCGTCACGCCGAAGATCCGGGTTCTATTCCCCACATGGCACAACGTGATATTGCTGGAATGTTGCTAAAAGTGGTGTAAAACCACTCACTCACAATCCTTCCATTTATAACTGTGTAGCCTTGTCTTTGCCTTTGTCTTCATACCCTGTCAAGACTCGACTCGTGTGAAGTGTATATACAGTGACAATATAGAGAGACGACAGAAATATGTAGTTTTTGTATTTAGATGATTAAAGATTACTGTATATTCACTTGCAACAGGTTGATATTCCCGTATGGTTTAATACTAATGATTATTACTTGTACTGTGCAAACAACGCTAATCGTGAGAGGCGACTTGAACGAACTCGGTGGTCAGGCTCAGTGAACTTGATTGCATGTCACGTTTTGATTTTTGTGATCGATATATGTCAGTCACTGAATGTGTTTTTGCCAAACTCGACTATGGCTGGTGTAACGCGAAGTAGCTAAAGATAAACCTCATTATGGCAACGAAACCTATCCCATACACAGTGTGTGCGCGCGCGCGTGTGCGTGTGCGTGCGTGCGTGCGCGCGTTCGTTCGTGTGTGTGTGTGCGCGTGTGCGTGCGTGCGTGCGTGTGTGTGTGTGAAAAAGACGATATACATGTGGTGAAAGAAAGAGGAAGTGAGTCTGGCGCTACTAATAAATAATTTTGAAAGTGCCAGTGTGACCTGTCTGCGTGCGTGTGCGTGTGCATGTGCGTGTCTGTGCTTGTTAGTGTTTACAGATGCGTGTGTGTATTACATACTGGTTGTATTTTGCATTCTCTGCTATTAATCGAATGAACAGCCTACATATACAGTTAGAAGATTGATTGAATAGATTTCTGACACAATACCACAGATGACACATTAATCATGACAATAGTAAATGTTACATGCCAGTACTATAAATAAAGATGTGTGATGTATCTAAAATATTTACAATTGTGGTGTCCCAAATCAACTTTGGAGTTTTGATGATCATCATGAGATTGCCCAAAGGTTATGGGGGCTTTGGGGTAGCCAAGTGGTCCAAGCATTCAATTATCACGTAGAAAACTGGGATCGATTCCCCATACGTGGAGTCACTTTCTGTTTTCCCTCGCAATATATTCAGTGTGTAAAATAAGTTTCCAAATTCTGCTTGCCAGTCGGGCTAGCCATGCCTGAAAGTTACTAGCCCACAAAATAATTCACTAGTCCGAAATTGGATTGTAGAAACTAAGCAAAAAATGACAAAAATAGATGAGAATAAGATATTGTCGGCGTGACATGTGTTTCATCATTAAGCTGCTAATATGATGAACATTTTTATCAGGCCACAATCTTGCATGATTTAAAAGTGTATTGTAACTTAACAAGCGGCTTTTAGCCGGAGTGATATATTCACAAAATGACCCCATGAAAATTCACTAGCCAGTCGGGCCAGTGACTGTGGAGGTTTACTGGCCCTGCTGGAGTTTTTACTAGCCAGGGGCCAGCGGGCCAGTGGCTATTTCGCACACTGAAGCAAACCATCAACCAATACTGAGTGAATATTTTAGTATAAAGGAGGAATTCTGTATTGATACTTGACAGACTACAAACTGCAACGGTATATCTGCTGTAACTTTGTGAGTGAATAGAATAGTTAGACAGTAAAAACACAAATAGTTCCAGTCATTTTGTTTTTCAATATGTTATGACTCGCATATCATCAGCAAGAATCTGAAAGGGGTTATAATTGTCTCATTCATCTATCTGCCCAGCACAGCACAGATCTGGAAATAAATGGCTTTAATCATGTAGATTTGATTAAATCATGTAGATTGTATTAAATGTATGCTCATCATATGTAATTGTCTTTACAATGTCGATATATTACCTTGCAATCGCACAAAAAATACGGCGTTCCCTTTTTAGGTTTCACCTTTTACATATGATAATTTATCCGGCTAAGAGACAGAAAGGTTGCAAAAGAAATGTTGTTGCAAATAATGTACAAGTTGTTTTGCATGAAATGTTTGATCTTAGCTAAAGATAATCATCCATTCACCGACCGTCTGATTTTCTCGTGGGCTTTGAATATGATAAATGCGGAGTTGTTGGCCCCATAGAGGGCGCACGTTTCAAGGGAGGCAACTCTCATTATATACCTGGAAGCAGAAAGTAGAAGAAAATAGATATTTTATAACCTGGTAAGTGTTGGGTAATGTTTTGCAAACGTGATATTTGTTTATTTAAGTGAACAATACTCATAGTCTGTGGAACAAGAGGAAGGTAAATTGTCTTCTATCAAAAACGGTGAAAAATGTATGACACATGCAAGTTTGGGCTTATATTTGACGAACAACAACTTTCTTTAACACACTGGAACAGTCACGTTGGACGATAAAGAAACTGTAATCGGTGAAACAAAATGGAATGATGTAGATAAGATGACTTTATTGGGTTCCGGGCTATGATTCTCCCTTCACTGATCTCTTGTGGTTAGGCCTTCCTTTCCAGTCAAACTCACCGCCCGACCTACCGCCGGATCAGAAGGAGCTATATCAGTTTGTTGGTCCATTTATGTTACATTTTATGCATTAGGGAAATACCCAATGAGACTATTTGCAAGAGATAAACGTCATACTGCTAAAAGGTGCAACATTACAGTTTAGTAAGCCATTTAGTTCCGCCAACCCTTCATGTTCCACAATGTTGGGTACCCCTTGCCTATCAAACACATATTTTCCATCCATGAGGTTATTTGTGAAATAGGGTTACCTGTTAGCAGGGGTGGAAATAACTTTAAAATTGCTAGTGTACTCCGGTACAGTGGCACATGTAAAATCACTTGCCCTGATAATTTTTCCACTATACCGGCCGTTTTCTTGTTGATTTTTTAAATAAACAACATAACTAACATTGGAAAGTCAACTGGACACTGGTACAGTGTGATATGCAAATATGCTAGCCCGACAGAAAAAAACACTGGACTCGGGCGTCGGGCAATGGGTTATTTCCACCCCTGCGTTAGATAAGTAATTAGCTGAGGTCCATGTTGGGGGCAGTGTGGTAGCCAAGTGGTTACAGTGATCACTTGTCACACTGAAGACCCGGGGTTTGATCCCACGTGAGCACAATGTGTGAAGCCCATTTCTGGTGTCTACCATGATATTGCTGGAATACTGCTGAAAGCAGTGTAAAACTAAGCTCACTCACTCATGCTAGAGGCATGAGTTCAGTCCCCTGCTTGCATGGTACTAAAATTGTGCCCAGGAAAGAATAGTACTACCAGAGTCTATGTCAGTCTCATCTCACTAAATTATGGCTAGTGTTTAACTTCAAGGTACACTCACCCTTTAATTAGACTGGTTACCTGTAGGATAATATTGTTCGATGCTTCTGATTCAGTGAACAACTCTTTCTTTAAGCTAAGGGGGACGGTGGGTAGCCTAGTGGTTAAAGCATTGGCTCATCACACGAAGACCTGGGTTTGATTCCCCATATAGGTACAATGTGTGAAGCCCATTTCTGGTGTTCACCATTGTGATATTGCTGGAATATTGCTTAAAACCATACTCACTCACTAAGCTCAGTAATGGAAAGCAAATTTTAGGTGCAGGTGAGGTGAAATTGGGTTTATCGTTGTTGCTTGAGAATATTTGGGCTCAATGGCGTGCATATGCGTGTATGTGTATGTGCGGCTGCTTGTACTAGCCCAGACTGAAGCTAGTTTTATAGTGCTAGCCCACTGAGATACCATGCCGCAGTGAAGCATGAATACCCCACTCAGACACATTATACTGACTCGAGCCGACCAGTCCTTGTTGTACCCATTAATGCCGAAAGCCAGGCAGGGGACCAAAAAGTACCATATTTTAGCGTCTTTTGGTATGGCGTGGTCGGGATCGAACCCGCGACCTTCCGCTCTCCGGCGGACGCTCCTAACCACTACACCACGATGGAGGCGGTTTGCAAATTTTAGACGACAGACAGACAGATTGTTTATTACAAGTGTCACCGCATACATTATACATTGTAAAAAGAAAACTAGTATATAAAAGGAGGTGAGGTGAATTTGGGTTTAACGTGCTTGAGAATATTTCGCTCATATGACGACGTGCATGCGTGTGTATGTGTATGTGCGTCTGCTTGTACTAGCCCAGACTTAAGCTGGTTTTATAGTGCTAACCCACTGAGATATGTATATAAAAGGAGCCATCACATATGGGATTATGAGAGACTATTTACAAATATACAAATATACAAAATATAAAGCAAAATTTACAAATATTAAACTAATGATAATGGTGAATGTGCCATTCCTTTGAAATATCAAAGCAGGTCTTGGCTGTTAAAATGATAACTTTTCCATATCTGTAAACTTTATAAAATTACCATTTAAAACTATGCACTTATCTAACAAACATTTTGTAAAAGACTGGTATAAAGGACAGTATAAAAGTACATGCATTTCATTTTCAACAACATTCAAACAGTTAAAACACATGAAACACACTCTCTCATTTAAAGGCATATTACTATAGCAACCAGTTTCTATTAATAAGGGGGCAACACCGCATCTAAACATGGCTATCGCTCATCTGTGGCCTCGTGGGATGTTATCAGTAATGTTACGTTCCGCTCCATAGTTCGTCTTAAAAGTTTTGTAGTGACGAAGTTTATTACCTTCCTTGCCGTCTCGACTGGTCAGGCAATCTATCTTCTTCCAGTTCTCATAACATCTCTCTCGTGCTTCACTCTGCACTTTGTGTACAACGTCCTTCACACGTAATCCATTGTTTAGCACCTGTATAGCTGAAAAACTGTCCCTGAGGAAGCCAATCTTTCACACAAAAAACACATGATCTAGCCGTGTAACAGATATGTAAACATCTCTCCAGCCTTTACAAGACAGTTTATTGGTCCTTGGCATTAACCATGTCTTTGGTAGTTTAACACAAGGAAATTCAATCCCTTGTACCCTAATGATGTGGATTGTTGCTTAATTAGTTGCATCATAAATCATTAAAATAAACAAAAACTTATGTGAGTGAGTGTTGCCTTTGACGATATTAGCCAACTGTCTGGGTGCAAGATGAATGATCATTTTACAGTGATGTGTACATAAATTTACCTCTTCACAAAATGTTATGAAGGGTTTGTACATTTTGTAATAGTAATTTGAACATGCATATATTCCATTTAAATTATTATTATTATAGTATACTTATATAGCACACATATCCAGGCAACAACTTGCTCAAGGCGCTGATATTTTTTTCCCCCGATCAGTGGATGTCAATCTCAACGGCACATCGTATTATCAATCTCAACTCCCTGGGGAGTATACAATTCTTGCAGCCACTAGGCGCATCGAGTTATTGTGGCTTTCTCATCCTAACGAGGTACCCATTCTCAGCTGGGTGGACTGGGACACATAGTCACAGTATTTTGTCCAAGTTCACTGCACGTTGCTGTACCCGCAACTAGGTGTTTGCACGTATTCATGTGGCCACCATCTGGTCATGTACCAACGGATTCGTGGGTTCTTTTAAGTGCACAGGGTTGTGTACTGTACACTAGGGGTTGTGACAACACTGAAAGAGTCTGCACACAAAGTTGACTCCAAGATTTTTACACCCGGTCACAGGTGGGCTCGATCCCGACACCTCAACCTCGCTGGATCACTAGCCTGGCGCCTTAGCCAGCTCGCCCACCGCGCCCAAATTGGTTACTTTTCCAGAAGTTAACAATTACCTGCAGTTTTATTGAGTGTAGCTTCTTCAGTTTCTACCATAAATCAATAAAAAGATTGGTCCAGTATAGAGAAGTAAATTTTCTATTTCTATGTGGTTTTTACTAATGTTTTTTTGCACTGTTGACTGTCTAGGAAAACTGGGTTGTTGTTTCGTTATGTCATCCTAGATTACAAGGATGTGTGTTAGGTTAAAAACTAAGCATAAAAGTCAACAAATGTTCAAAGGCCCCTTCTTATAAACAACCTGTTTTGTTGAAGTATTTTATTTTATGGATTCCACAGATGTTTACTTTCATTCCTGCTGTGGTAATGACAATAAATGCACTTCATTCAGATTTACTCACAACTGACCATGGCTACCGAGAAGACAACAGCAAATCCCCTTGAACAATTTGTACTTCTTGCCAAGACGGCTAAAGGTGCTGCAGCAGTGAGCCTTGTCAACCAGGTGCTAGATGCTCCGTCAGTGTATGTGTTCGGTGAATTGCTGGACATGCCCAACATACAGGAGGTAGGGTGTTCATTGGCTGTATATCTTACTGTCTAAGGTTGTACAGTCAAATCCCGATGAGTCGAATCGCTAGGGACCAAGTAATAAATTCGACTTATCGATGTATTTGAGACATAGGTATGTCTATGAGGGTAGAGAAGAAGATGATCCAGTCCTAATTCCTCCGCCTAAGCATTTGTTTATCTAATGATTTCCATATCACTAATAGGGGCACCTTATCAGTTACAGTCTGATTAGCACAGACAGTGATTTCCGTAAAATCACTAATCTGCCTTTTGAACTCACCCGTCAATGGCGGAAAGGTGTGAGCCGCGCTGGTTTGTTAATTGGATCAGTTTGCTACACCAATCAACTTCTCATTGACTGACTTCGGCTTATGTATACAAGATTGCTGTTGTTTGAATCTCATGGGACCAAAGTTCCTTCTCGAGTCATCGTGTGTATTTATGAGTCGAATTCGTGTAACCGGAAATTAAATGATGACAACTATAACAGGGAATGGTCGGGACCGACAGGTACTTCGAGTTATGCATAATATTCGAGACACCGGCATTCGACTCATCGGGATTTGACTGTACTTTGCTGTGTAGAAGTGGTGCAGAGTAGTGTTCCTGTGTGCCACAGTCATATCATCATGGGTGTCAGCCTGATTGAAATGTTTTATTCTGTCTAATTTACTGCACATTTTCTATGCAGAATTGGTTCCTTGCTAATTCTGGGTTAGAATTGATCCCCAGGAACCATGGATTGGGTGGTCAGAGTAGGTGATGGGGTTGATCACATGTCATATTACTGCATGGATATTGCTCACAAAATCATTCACTGGATTGTCTGGCCCAGACTTGATTATTTACATTATTTATGTTGTATTAGCACCAATCCATGCTCCAGGATTTCACCAAAGTGATAAATGCCTATGGCCTGCAACATCTTGGACTTCCTCTTGTGAATCATGGCGTCTTGAAGAATATGTTAATGGATACATAAAAGTGCTTGTTTTGCCAATCAAATACCACAAAAAACAGCAATTTAGTTATTAAAGATTGGAACCACTGCAATTTATTAAAAAATAATTGTACTGTCTCCTTTTTTTCCAGCTGTCCGCAGGGCCACATGCTCCGTATTTCCAGGTGTTGAATCTATTTGCATATGGAACTTATAGAGAATACAAAGGTTTGTATTCAGGCACTGTCCTTTTTATTGATTTGCATATATGCACACCCAAGTTTGGATAGATTTTGATTGTGGTTTATATATAGTGGTCCTTTTCAGTTCAATATAACCATAGTTTATTGTACACTGTTCCAGTGGGTCTTCAGTTTAGATTACCCGTGAAGGTCCGGGTTAGAATGAACCTTCAGTAACCCAGGCGACTAATGGGATAGGGTGGTCAGGCTCGCTGGCTTGGTTGACACATGTCATCGGTTCGCAATAGTGCAGATCGATGCTCATGCTGTTGATCACTGGATTGTCTGGTCCAGACTCGATTATTTACAGGCCTCAGCAATATAGCTGGAATATTGCTGAGTGCGGCATAAAACTAAACTCACTCACTCATTCAGTTTAGATCCTCATTAAGAATAATGAGAGACTTATTGTCTGTTGTGTTAAGCCGTAGTGTTAGTGTTTTACATGAAGTTTCAAGAATTATTGTTGTGGGCATTTATCAGTTCCTTGTTGTTGAGTGTCCTATTTTACACAAAATAATGTTTACCCTGCTTTGTTTCAGCCAATGTTGCAAAACTCCCAGAGTTGACGGCGGGACAGTTAACGAAACTGAGACATTTAACAATTGTTTCATTAGCTACAAAATCCAAAGTAAGTTACCAGCGCTATGTTAAAGAACAAATAAACTTTGTTTTTTGTTACTCTTTTAACCATTACATATGAAAGATTTGTGGTTAGTCTTATGGGAACACCAAATTCATTCTTAAAAACTTGTGGTTAATTAATACCGAGCGATTAAAAGTTGCCAAAAAGTCGCCTGCTTCACTCTCGACCGCCAACAAAACCACAGACAGGTTACGTAACTCTGTCGCCAGAGCACTGCAGTGACGTCATATGAGGAACGATTTTCAGTTAGTTGTATATAAAGTGTGTAGCAAGCTTCGTCATTTTGATGATTTCTTGACATCAACAAAGACATGCCGAATCGTTCGTTGTTGTCGCCAGTTGCTCCAAGGGATCGGGCGATGGTGTCACCATGCACAGATTTCCACAGGACCCCGCAGTTCATGCTAAATGGGTTATGTTTGTGCTAAATGGGTTATGTTTGTGAGTGCGGAAGTTAAAGAAGCCAGTGTTGTGGAAGCCTGAAACAATATCTTACTTATGTTCAGATCGCTTCCACGGAAGTTAAAGAATCAAAACTACTGACTAGTTGTTGTAAAATATGTATATTGTCTAAACTGTTAGAATTAATGAGATTATACTGCACGATAAATTTGTGCTACATTCATTACCCAAAGGATTTTGGACACAACTCAGACATAGCGATTTCTTCCACTCACCAGTATGTAGATACTAGATCAGTCAATGCGTCTTTATATTTGGTCTTATAATCCTAATTAGTTTATTATCATACTTGTATGCATTTTGAAACTTAATAAAAAGCAGGTGATCTGCTGATACTTATAGTGAATTTATAACAGGACTGTAATATCTAGACATTTTATTGTTTGCCAATGAGAACCATAATTCGCACACACGCCCTAGTGTATGTTGTCTGTCTCATTACACTTCACGGCGAAAACAATGATTCTGTTGAATGCTACATATGAATAAAAACAAAATGCAAATATTAAAATGAAAAAGGATGAAAGTTATAGGAACAATGTCAGGCTATTACCTTGTTCGAGGAATGTATCCATCAATATCCACAAAAACGAGTTATATGCCATTCATCTGCTGTTCCAAGATATATGTCTTTTAACAGTCTAATATACGAAAAAGTGATATATCGTTTCAGGTATTTCACATTGGTGTATAGTCTCATTGGTCACCCAAGATAGCACACCTGGCAACTAATTGCATAATGTCCAACTTGGAAATTAGGCAAAGCAGGAGACAAAATTAAATGACAGTAGATTGTGAGAACATATAGCTTTCATTTTTCACAACAGTTGTCACGATTTCAGGTTTATACAAACCTGTAAACAAGATCATTTACCCCCTGAAATGTACATGAATTCTGCATCGCGAGGCCCCTCATATCTATTCCTCACATGGCGTCACATGGTCTAGAAAACAAGTTGCTCTGATTGGTTGAAATTTCGCGGCGGGTGAGAAATGTAGATGATTGTGCACTGTTGTCATAAATGTCGATTTAAGTTAATTAAAGATAGAAATGAGTAGTTTTAATGACAGGGTTTCATTTATAACGATGATTTAATATGTATTTGTACCCCCCTAGAGTATATGTGATCTTTAAGGATGTATCACTGCACATGTACATGGTCACTAGATTAGCGGACCACCTCCGTGGTGTAGTGGTTACAGCGTCCACCCGGAGAGCGGCAGGTCGCGGGTTCGATCCCCGACAGCCGCATATACACACACACACACACGCATGCACGTCGTCATATGAGTGAAATATTCTCACGCACGACGTTAAACCCAATTTCACCTCACCTCACTAGATTAGCTGCTAGTTATACAAAGGGATATTTGTACAAGACGGTTGATCTGGATGACTTTATCAGCTGTTGTGAATCTCCGCATGTTAATTACAGCCTGGGACTGAGTCTGCCAGCAGAATACTGTCACTTGACTTCTTGTTTAGTATTTAGTGTTAAATTAATACTAATAAGAAATGGGAGCTTACACGACAGATACAGATACTGTGAATCTGGGACAAAGATGCTCTCAAGCTTACCATGCTTGTCTCCCCTTTGCATGACAGATTTACTAAAGTCTTTTGAAAATCAGGGATTGCTTATCTTGTTTTGAGTAGTTTACGTCCTGTGTCACACTGAGCGTTCATCCCAGTCAGTTAGTCAAACGGCAGTACACTGAATCACGGTTGATCCTTTTTCCTTGCAGTGCATTCCCTACTCAGTGCTGTTAGAAGAGTTAGAAATGCAAAATGTCCGACAACTTGAGGTAAGTCTAGTGTGTTGATACATCAGGTGAGTGAGTGAGTTTGGTTTTACGCCGCTTTTAGCAATATTCCAGCAATATCATGGCGGGGGACACCAGAAATGAGCTTCACACATTGTACCTATGTGGGGAATCGAACCCGGGTCTTCGGCGTGACGAGCGAACGCTTTAACCATCAGGCTACCCCACCGCCCCTGATACATCAAGATAGCATTAACAACATATGTGGTGGTCATAACCCTCATAGACCTGTGAAGATCCAGGTTAGAATATTGATCTTCAGTAACCCATGCTTGTTGTAAGAGGCGACTAACGGGATTGGATGGTCAGGCTCACTGACTTAGTTGACACATGTCATCAGTTCCCAATTTCGCAGATCGATGGTCCTGCTGTTGATCACTGGATTGTCTGGTCCAGATTTGATTATTTACAGACTGCCACCATATAGCTGGAATATTACTGAGTGTGAAGTAAAACTAAACTCACTCACTCACTGGTTTCCAACAACCAATGCTGGTCATAGGAGGTGATTTAACTGATCAGGAGCAGTTGGTTAGCACAGTGGTTAAAGCAATTACTTGTCACACCGAAGAGCCGAGTTCACATCCCAACATTGGTAAATGTGTGAAGCCCATTTCTGGTGTCCCCCACTTTGATGTTGCTGGATTATGTGAAAAGCAACGTAAAACCATACTCGCTCGCGCACTTGGGAATTTGGTTGAATGACTGACCAATGACCTTTCCCACTGTAAATTATGGAATCAGTCTGTGCCAAAGTATTTTCCACATTCTACCCAAAACTTGGGTGAAGACGTCAATTTTAGTAATTGTATTGTTATCAATTTTAGCTGGTCTCAAACAGAATGTTACTTGACTTGGGCTTCAGGCTAGTGGCTGAAGTCTCAGACTGAAGAATGAAGATTTGAAATTTGAATGTGATGGCAACTAACTAACTGCATAAGTTTGTGTCTATGAACATTGCTACTGCTAGAACAGTTCTGAAACCAGTGTGTTAAGTTTGAATTGTTGACGAGAAGTAGAATCCGTCTGTTCTCTCCAGTGTGCAAAATAGTTCCCAAATTTTGCTAGCCAGTCTGGCTAGCTATGCCTGAAAGTTACTAGCCCGCGAGATCATTCACTAGCCCGAAATTTGAATGTAGAAACTAAGATAAGATTACAAAAATAGATGACAGGGATAGAAATACTTTTTTTTTTCTAAGTGTGCCTTAGGGCACCAGACCAATAGATGTGCCTTTAAGAAATCAAGTTTGCCCACGTTTTTAGAATAAGTGACGGTAGCAATGATGATGATCACTTGAAATTTATTGTTAGTAAAAGACAGATGTAACCTGTTTTCTGTTACCACTGATATGTCTTCTGTTTAAGATGGCTTTCTTAAGCTTCATTTGTTCTGCTTTCCCAGCCCCTTTAATAGCTAAGAATTTTGTGACAGGTTCACCTGTTCAATATATCTAACTTACAAAATTTCCTCTTCAGTAACCAAACTATCAGTACTCCCAACATTCTAAATGGAAAAACAACCAGATTTCCTTACATCATCCATCATAGTTCCAGTCAAATAAATGTTTTTGCTTGTTTGTCATTTATGTACATGTTTTGTTTTGGGGATTAAATGACTAAAAGTGAGTTATGTCTCTAAAATATTAGGCGTGCCATAAGGGCTCCGAGAACATTTTTTCCCGTGCCATTTCAATATTTACCATGCCATGGCACACTAATATATGGGTTATTTCGAACCCTGGATGAGAATAATAAATTTTTCTTATCCTGACTCATGTATTATTGCTTGTCTCCTTCCTTTCCCGAACATTAGTGGAACACTTGTATCTCCTTTTTGAAGCTCCCTTAAAAAAAGCAGACGTAAAATCACTACTCACCACGAGTTGTCTCCCTCTCCGTTTTGGCGGGAAAACGGCGCCACCCGTCTTCCCACTCTTCACTCTCTCCTTCTTCGCCCTAGTGGACGGTTGGGAGAGCACCTGTGTCTCCAACACGGCACTATATCCTTTGCTAACTTAGTTATTACCCTATAAGTTACCTTTATAAGGTTTCAGGGAGTATCCTTCTACAATATGGTTTGAAATTTATTAGCAAATTTGACTGTTTATTCACGGTTTCACGTGATTGTTCAGTTGTTTACATTTCATGAAAACCTGTTTTCGTTGTAGGTTTAGGTTCTCTGCTGCAGACCCGCATTGATTGTGCCCCAGTTGCACAACAATATGTACTTCCAGCTCTCGCTGTAAATTATGTCAGCAATTAACAAAAATTGAATTGAATAATTATTATTTCTCTGTACTTAGATGTGCTAAGGATAAATCCAGACGACTGTTGCAAGTCATGGCTAAACCAGCTGAGTCCCTAAAGAGCTGTCTATCGTTGTCAGACGACATACTTCCATCCAGTGACCTGCCGGAGGCGTTTTCAGAAGATGGGCGTGGGATGAGGTCCGCCATTACGTCGAAGAAAAGATCTTCTACGTCGGACAACTCCTCAACCCATATGAAGAAGAAGAGGCCATCTTCGTCGCAGAAGAAGCCTTACACCTCTAAGGCTTCAACCAGATCTACTGGGAGCTCTTCACAGACTACGAGGACTTTTTCTGCTGAGATCGTCCCGATGGAAGAGAGAGGCTTATATGATATAGCCGCTGATACTCATCCGAGAGATACTGCATAAGAAGAAGACGCAGGCCTCAGCAACGGTAATGTCAGCAACCCTCTCTACGCAGTCTGAGTTACCTTCAACACTGACAGCAGAGATCCATGAGGCACAGCGATCCCTGGACCATATCGCTACCCTCTCAGATGCGACATCACTACAGTCGTCGCAGACATTCAACCCCGGGGCCTTCATGCAGCAGTTCTCTCAGCAGATGATGGAAATGATGGAGAAGCGCTTCGCGCAGGAAAGAACCTCGCATGATGGACAGACAGCCAGGCGGCTCTCATGCCCAAGTCGTCAACCTCAGAGAGGAACCAGTGCTGCACGAAGGACCCCACACTGATGATACATCTGAGAGGCCTACCAGAGGATCTAGCTCTAGGACTAAGAGCAGACCTACCCTGCAGGACGTCAGCAAACCTGCGCGAAGGAGGGCACGTTCTTCAGACCAGAATAGATCGTCATCAGATGATGAGGCTAATGAAGAACCTTCACGCAGGCTACCCACTTCACAGAGGAAGAAACCTACACCTCCTAGAAGGTTCAGAGAGACGTCTCGGGATTCAGACCCTCAACAAAACCTCTCACCTGCGCGAAGGTCTTCTGAATTATCATCAAGGACGTCAACAACGCCTCGCAGGTCGTCACGCGATTCACCACATAGAGATGTATTGCCTTCGTGAAGACAATCCCGGACAGGAAGACACTCACCTCCACGCAGGTCGCCATACAGATCTCCTCTTAGAACTAGACGTAGTTCAACGTACTCATCTCCACACAGATCGCCACGCAGATCTCCATGCACGAAGGATATTCAACGATCATATACAAGTGGACATGATACAGAGGACGATGGCGGAATCATTTTTTCGGACTCAGAGATAAAATATGGGATGGCTAATGGACTGGACCTAGCGTCACCCTCTAAAGAAGAGAATGAGGCATTCACGTACCTAATGAAGGATGATGATGTGGACACTATCACTCTACCTCCAATTGACCCGGTCTCGGACGTACCAGAGGACCTGGACGCAGCCTTCAGGAAGGCAACTAAGTTCCAGTCTCCAAATATCCCACAGTTCAACGCAAAGAAGTTCTCACTGCATAACATGGACCCCTTTATGAAGGCACAAGAAATAGATGAGAACTATAAAATCATCAATGACTCCCGGACCAAATCTTACAAGATTAATGACAAAAAGCTGGCACAGATGGACACTATGACCAGAAGGATGTTCTTCGGACTTAACAGATCCAGGGCAATTAATGAAACGCTCATTTCCAAGTTCAGGAACTCAACTGCAGAGGAAGACCGGATGATTTATTCTGCCTTACTAATGCAGAAAAAGGACCACCAATTTATGTCAGAGCATTTATCATCCATATCAGCAGCATTGACGCTTGCCAGAAGACAAGGTCTACTGTCTTCATGTAACTGGAGTGAACGCTTCACTAAGACTCTGTACAGAGCTCCATGGTCTTCAACATCCATCTTCGCAGGGGAGATTGACGAGGTTGCCAAGGAAGTCACAAAGGAATCCAGGGAAGTCATGATGATAAAGTCCATTGATACCCTAGCCAGTGTCATCAGGCAGACGTCCCAACCCTACTCTGGCAAATCTAAATTTGCAGGCATCCAGAAAGCAAGAGAAAACAAAATGGGGACCTCCAAAGGAGGAAAGGATTCTTTTTGTCGCCCATCCGGTAACTATAGAGGACGATCCGGACGAGGCAGGGCACCCAGAGGTGCCAGAGGCTTTAGACGATGAAGGACGGGTTCGGAACGACTGGAGTCTTCCACCCCCAGCCGTTCCTGTTCAACCTTCCCAAGTGGGTGGATGTCTACAACGCTACTGGGAGAACTGGGGAATTCTTCAAGACCACGTTGTATCCAACACCCTAAGAGAAGGATATCATATACAACTACAAGCAGCCCCTCCATTAACAGACGTACCTCAGGGGTTAAACTTTACGACCCATCAGACAGAGAGGCTGCAAGAAGCGGTCACATCTCTACTAGAGAAGGACGCTATAGAGGTGATAGATCAGGATCAGATCTCACCAGGATTCTACTCCCCAGTTTTCCTCGTACCAAAGAAAAACTCCAAAGAAAAGTTCCGACTAACTTACAACATGAGGACATTCAACGGAGATTATCTACGCAAACCAGCAAAATTCAAACTGATTCATCTGCCTCAACTACTACATCTCGTCTGTCCGTTGGACCATATGGCCAGCATAGATTTACAGGACGCATACCTGCACATTCCTATACGTCCGGAATCAAGGAAGTACCTGAGATTCGTACTAGACGGATGACACTACCAATGGAAAGTCCTGCCATTTGGAATATCATCGGCCCCCTGGTTGTTTACAAGAGTGACGAAGCCCATAGTCACATACCTACATCATCGAGTTCTACGCAGTGCGTACTACCTAGACGATGGGATTCAGGCTCATCAAGATCCATATCATCTCAGACTACAACTAGACTTCACCATCAGGCTTCTCACACAACTAGGGTGGCTAGTGAATCTCCTCAAGTCGGATCTAGAGCCTACACAGGACCTGCAGTTCCTAGGAATTCGGCTCAACACAACAGAAAACCGCATAACAGTACCAGAGGACCGTTGGCTAAAGATACAAAGATGGTATCGCAAGCTCTACTCTCTCCGTGGCCACTCCGACAGTGGCAGGGTCTCCTCACGTCAGCACAGGATATGACGCGCAGAGGGAGATTACAATTACGCCCACTACAGGTCTTCGTAATTGCACATCTGGACGATCCGGACCCCTTCGGACTCCCGGACAGACTAAAACCATATCTACTATGGTGGACTCAGAGATCGAATTTTATGCGGAGGCACCTACTTAGCAGAGCCGGAGTGCAAAACGCATCTCTATGTGGACGCATCTCTCCAAGGTTAGGGAGCACACCTCAACAACGAAGTGTCAGCTGGGAAATGGACGTTACAAGAGAAAGATCTGCATATCAACATGCTAGAAATGAAAGCAGTGATAAACGCCATACTTCACTGGACCAGCATTCTAAAAATGCTCATCTAACGGTACACACGGACAACTCCACAGTGGCGTTCTACATAAACAAAAAGGATCAACAAGGTCGGCGAACCTTCTGAACCTTTGCTTTCATCTGTTCAGCATAACAGACAATCTGAACATCCACATAAAGGCATGCCACATTCCAGGAGCCAAGAATGTGATAGCAGACGACTATCTCGTCCAACTCAGCCATCCCCAACAGAATGGATGCTACATCCAGAAATCTTCAAACAGATCATACAAGAGATAGGAGGCCACTAATAGACTTGTTTGCCACAAGATTCAACAATCAACTGGTAACATTCGTCTCTCCAATACCAGATCCACGAGCATGGGCAACAGATGCTCTAAGCATCTCTTGGGAAGGACTAAACGCTACGAAGTTCCCCGCCACCAGCTCTAATACGAAAAGTGTTGCAGAATATCATGCAGACGAGGAACCTGCAACTGATTTTGATCGCGCCTTATTGGCCAGCGAGAATGTGGTTCCCCATTCTCATACAAGAATTAGGACCGCCTCAACTGCAACTACCAGAGTGGACGAACTTGCTAGTACATCCACACACAAAGCAAGCAAACGGCCACCCCATGGTGTTCCTCCTACACGCATGGACCGTATCAAGGCGTGCTTGAATAAGAGAGGATATTCCGCCAGGGCAGCTAAAGCGTCACGCTTAGCTTTAAGCAAATCAACACGCTAACTTGTACGACGACAAGTGGCTTAAGCTTCTGAGACCCACGCTTGAAAACAGGCTTCACAGCCATGAAAGCGACACACCCTCAAGTGGCGGACTATCTTTGTCACCTAAGACAAACGAAGCGGTTAAAAGGGTCTACACTCTCAACATACCTAGCAGCATTGAGCTCAGTTATCACTATGAGGACGAGTGTAAAACTGACTAAGGTACCAGAGTTACTGGCCTTACTACGCTCTTTTAAACTGGAGGACCAACAACAGAGATTTAAAGCTCCGGCTTGGGACCTCAATATAGTTCTACGACATCTCACCAGTGACGCTTATGAACCATTAGATAGGACATCTTTTGAGTTCTTGACACAGAAAACTCTATTCCTGATGGCTTTAGCAACAGCAGCAAGGATGTCGGAAATACATGCTTTGAAAGGACACGATTTGATGAAAATCGAAACATCGTACATATGGGACTGAGATGGGACTTTATAGCAAAGAATCAACTGCCAGGTCAACCGGACAGACAATTCCACATCCCAGCATTATCCTCAGTCCTTGGGCCACAGGATACACAGGACCTATCCTTGTGCCCAGTAAGAGCATTAAAAGTCTGCCTACAAAGGTCTAGGACCAGGAGACGAAAATTCAAGCGTCTTTTCATCCCTATATCGGCAGAGACACAGACAGAGATCTCTGCACTACGATATCAATATGGATGAGAACTGTCATTCTACGGGCCTGCAAAGCAGCAGGACTTGATCCCTACACGAGCCTCCAATCCACATGAAATTAGAGCTCTGGCGTCAACACTCGCTCTACATGGGAATTGCTCTATCACGACGATAATGGAGGGCTGCTTCTGGAAATCGGACATGGTGTTTGCCAACCACTACCTGAGAGACATCGCCACTGAAGACGTCTCCGGCATTCACCATTTCGGCCCCCTTGTTGTAGCACAACAACTGACAGTTCCACGGAGGCGCTGAGACAGAGTCTCGCCCTTTTATCACATGACTTGCAAAAGCCAACACTCAGGAGAGTTACAGCTTTAGAGTCCATATGCACGTCTAAGACAGACTAGCATGAGTGATAAGACCAAGTACTTGTAAGGACTTACTCGTACATAAGAAGGGTCGCTTCTCCACTTGATGCATGCATCAAGCGATGGAGTTGTTAAAATCCACATATAATGTTAACAGAAGCAAGGACCAAAAGTTAACAATTGTGGTCCCCCCATCAGAGAAAGCTGGAAGTAAGGGTTACAGCAGCAGCAGAGCATAGCAGTAAATTGAAGTGCTACCAGGAAGTTCCCATAGGGGGTATGCAAGACGTAAATCACCAAATTGGAATCCAGAAGTGGCTTGACCCACCACCAAATCCGTTGGATTCTACAAGCAATAATACATGAGTCAGGATAAGGAAAAATATGTAATTTTCTGAGTAAAATTGATATTTTATACTTATCCTGACTCTTGAGGTAAGCCCTCCCAACCTCCCCGCTAGGCACTTTGGATTTCCCAGCAAATCTAAGTGTCGGGCTTGCAATTCGGAGAGAGTGAAGAGTGGGAAGACGGGTGGCGCCGTATTTCCGCTAAAACGGAGAGGGAGACAACTCGTGGTGAGTAGTGATTTTACGTCTGCTTTTTTGAATGGAGCTTCAAAAAGGAGATACAAGTGTTCCACTAATGTTCGGGAAAGGAAGGAGACAAGCAATAATACATGAGTCAGGATAAGTATAAAATATCAATTATACTCAGAAAGTTACATTATTGTCGGCATGACACGGATTTCATCATTAAGCTGCTAATATGATGGACATTTTTATCATGCCATAATGTTATGGATATAAAAATGTGTTATAACTTAACAAGTCGGAGTGAGTGATATATTTACAAAATCACCCCAAGAAATTTCATCAACCATTCGGGCCAGTGACTGCAGATTTACTGGCCTGATTGGCTTTTTACTAGCAACGGACTAGCGGGCCAGTGTTTTTTTCGCACACTGGTTCTCTCCCACATTTTCCCAACATTGTATTGTTTTTTATTTTATTTTTTTTTAAGTCAAACATATGTTGATTGCTAATAATAACCAATATAATAGTATCGGCATTTGACAGATTGTAAGAGGAACTAAGCAACAACATTTGATATGAAACAAAAGTTGGCATACTTTTGGGAGTTTGCTGACCTGTGTACAGTTATATTTCCCATATGAAGCAGCTTCTATGTGTTATCCAGGATCTGATCATTGAGGTTATCTATGCTGACATCATCCATGGCAAGCTGGACCAAAGGAATCAACAGTTGGAAGTGGACTACGCCATCGGTCGAGACATCCGCTCTGATGCAGTCCCAGAAATCATCACCGTCCTGCAAGATTGGTTTGTATTTCATGTATATCTATTCTGTACTGTACCACTTTGAACTTGGTGATTCTGCCTAAGTGTTTTTAGATGTTTTGCATTCCTATTATATCAGATTTGTGGTTTTGAGTCAGGTTGTTCATCATATTAATCTGGGTTAGAATTGGTCTTCAGCAACCCATGCTTGTTGTAAAAGGCGACTAACAGGATCGGGTGGTCTGGGTTGCTGACTTGGTTGACACATGTAATGGTATTCCAACTGTGTAGATTGATGCTCATCCTGTTGATCACTGGATTGTCTGGACCAGACTTGATTATTTACAGACTGCCACCATATAGCTGGAGTGTTGCTGAGTGCGGCATTAAACAACAAACAAACATAATTGCCAGAGTTATAAAAATATATGTCTGGGGTATTAATATGAATTTAACATTTTGCATAATTAAGATTTGTTTTAGAAGGACAGGAGTTATGTTGTGTCTTTAATTGGTCTCTTATTTCATGTGGCTTGAATATTGCTGTATTGCGTAAAACAACATACTAAGATGAAACCATGTTTCCTTACATGTGGAGTGTGTTCTAGGTGCAATGGCTGCGAGACAGTTCTGAAGGGTATAGAAGACCAGATCTCCAAGGCCAACGCCAACAAGGAGAAGAACAACAAGATCAAGGCAGAGATTGAAACAGAGGTGAGGAAGAGGCATTTCTTCACGTCCTGTCGGGCGGTGGGGTAGTCTAATGGTTAAAGCGTTGGCTCGTCACGCCGAAGACCCGGGTTCAAATCCCCACATGGGTACAATGTGTGAAGCCCATTTCTGGTGTCCCCCGCCGTGATGTTGCTGGAATATTGCTAAAAGTGGCGTAAAACCAAACGCAGTCAGTCAGTCAGTCAGTCACATCCTGTCCTGTACCAAGTCATACTCAATCCATTCATTAATTGGAAGAAGAGTTACTTCCCTTGTCACAGTTCAGAGGGTCATTGTTATCAGTTTAGAGAAGTCAGCCATTATGGGGGAGCAGATGGCTGGTGGTTTGGTCCCCTTAAACATCATATCAGAAGATGTTAAAATATGGTACTTGTTGTTACCTCGACTGGTGCTCATTGAGAATGGGATAAAACAAGGTCTGTTCAGCTTAGAGACAGTACACTATGTCTGAGTAGGGTGTCCATGTAAAATTTTGTATTGCAGTGGGCTAGCCTATTAAACCAGCCTTTGTCTGAAACAGCCCAAGTAGCTACATAAACATACATACACACATCCATGTGTACATGTTAGGGTTGTTACGTTTTCGGTGAATCAAACTTCATGGATTCAATTTGTTATTTGCGCTCACTAGAATCGAGTACCCCTGAATTGATTTTAAAAGAAGAGTTTTTACTTGAATTTGGGTGTTATTTATCAAAATGAGAAATGCAAAATGGAATATATTCAACACTTCCACATTTAATTTGATAGTAGGTCATTGGCCATTGTTGTGACAAAGTAACACAGTCAACATGGTCTGAACATATCAACTACAGACTTATTAATGTATTCATTACCCAAATAATGAAAAGATATTTGCATTCATTTCCCAGTATTTGTAATACCGGTAGTTACCAAATATTCCTTATATGTATCATATTCACCTAGTAGTGGATTCATCGCAACCAAGCAAATCACTGTATAAGTTCAATAATCTTGAACACAATGTTAAACCCGATTTCACTGACATTTCTGTGACAGGTGGCCAACATCAAGAAGACACTGAAGAGCACACAGCAGTCGGACCTGGACGACCAGATGGTCACCGACAGCTCCCTCTCCCAGTCAGACAAACCAAAGAAGACATCCAAGAGTAAAGGGTAGGGCAACACTTGTCCATGTTGGATTTGTCAAGATTCACTTCATATTGTATTTCCAATAATAATCCATTTGTACCACAATATATTACATGCTTTCTATCATCCTTGACTTGTGTGGGGCGGTGGGGTAGCCTAATGGTTATAACGTTTGCTCGTCACACCGAAAGCCCGGGTTCGAATCCCCACATGGGTACAATGTGTTAAGCCCATTTCTGGTGTCCCCCGCCGTGATGTTGCTGGAATATTGCTAAAAGTGGCGTAAAACCAAACTCAGTCAGTCAGTCAGTCCTTGACTTGTGAATGGAGTAAAATTACACATTTTGCCAACTTTGTCAAATCATATCTGCCGTTTTCGTTGATCAAGATGAGTTTGTTATTTTCTGTATTGCCTGTCTGTTTTAGACTACGAGGAAGCAGTACAACGAAGCTATGGAAGTGATGTGAGCTGTGATTAATTTGTGAACTTGTACATACCTGTGGAAAGATAAATATTACGTGCTACAGACACTCAAGCTAGAGTTACCTCCCTGTGCCACAAGCAGATCTTGAATGTCCGGCCTATCACCAGTTGTGGAATGGATACAGTCTGCAAGGTGTGTTATCGATATATATTAAATATATATCATGAGGACTTGTTTATATCTGTACTGAAACGAAAAGGTTAAGGATCATGAAATATTGTTTAATGTGGAATATTAAATTGTTGTCCTCAGTTCTAAAACTTTCACCCAAATATTCATGATTCATAACTTTTTTTGTTCAGTATACCGAGTATATGAAAGTAGGAGGTAATTTCTGGACAGGAAGGGAATAACAAGTGTTATCTGTTCTGATTTGAAAAAAAACTTCATTATTTATCTACCACCTGCAGAAATAATTTGTTTGCATTTGTACGCTGATCATGTAATAAATGTGTAAAACATCCCTTGACACATTTCTATTTAGTTCACTGCATAGGTCGGGAATGTACAAATGTCCATTATTTACATTGATACAGTTGCTATGATAAGTCATATTTTTATTCTTGGCAATTCTGTCCATTAATGTTTAAATACCACTCCAGAAGTTCTTTTCATGAAAACTTGTGATATTATGTGTTTAATAATAGCTGAGCATTCACGTTAAATAAATTTGTGTCCATGTATTATTCTGTAAGAAATAAAACTGATCAATTTCATCAAGTAATGCCCAAATTGACGTCATCAACTAGTCATAAATCATGGTTGCATGGTACTAAGGTTTTGGAATGGAAGATATTTTCCTTTGTGTATTCACGGTCATCATCAATATTGTTGAAGTTCTCCACTTAGCCCATTCTTGTATCACATCGAGGGTTGTGGGGTAGACTAGTAGACTAGTGATTAAAGCATTCATTGCTAATGCTGAAGACCTAGGTTTGATTCCCCACATGGGCACAATATGTGAAGCCCATTTCTGGGAGTCTCCCCGCCGTGATATTGCTGGATTATTGCTAAAAGCGACGTAAAACTCATGCACTCACTTGTATGACAACCCACAACAAACATCCTGGAGTATTGCACGATTACTTTTATTTTATTGCATTACAAACTTGTCATATGCTTAAATGGGTTAGATCAAGTTCAAACAATTACAAAATGAGACAAACAGGCCAATACTAAAATATTAATTAACATATCAGATCTGGCCTCGCACATGGCAACTATGTTGACATTAACAAACAAATTACATGGTTGTTCAAACAAATGCATATGCTTCAAGAAATATCAAATGTGTAGAAGTGAGGTAACGGTAGAAATTTACATCATGGGATCAAATTGAAAATTACATTCGGTCAAGTTTACTGGTAATTTATTAGGATAAACTATCCCCTAGGGGACCAGTTCAAAAGATTCATGTCAGATAAAAGTCTTAATTCCTGAAGTTGGAGGTGAGTGACCCTGCAAGTTTTACAGAAAACATAATCAACTTGCAGTATCCAAACAAAGAAAAAATTCTGATCCTATGATTCATAAGTTGTCAGTATATACACCAACTAGTCTTGCCAGGAGATAGGATTTTATTGTCAGTGTAATCGCCAATATAAAGAATTTTTCAAATGATAAAAATACTTCACTCAGCAGTTCAACATTGTTTTTGGTAAGAAAGTATTATTAAAATATAACATTGTTTTTTGTATGACAAAATTTAGTAAGTTTCAGTTTTACTCCGCCTTTAGCAATATTCCAGCAATATCATGGTAAGGAACACCAGAAATGGGCTTCACACATTGTATCCATGTGGGGGATCGAACTCTGGTCTTCGGCGTGACAAGTGAACACTTTAACCACTAGGTACCCCACCACCCCGAGAATATTTAGAACTGGTCCCTAACATATGGTTTATGTAAAACATCACAAATAGAATTTGAACTAAACATGCATACCAAAAGCTTTTGCAATATCTTTAAGTTGGGGAAACTTTAAACCCAACACTACATCTGTGGGGTGAAGTAGCTTGCCAAACTATTTGTCTATAAGTGCAACACATTCAGTCACTGGACAATCATCTACAGTTGCCTTGGAAATGGAATCTGATTTAACAGTATGAAATAGGCTGGCAGTATTGTTATAGTACACCCAGTAGTATGTAACAACACATTCCACTGTACCATTTAGCTGCATCAGAGAAATATGGGACGAGAAATGAGAGTTGGCTATCAAAATACCAAACAATTTTTCTTTAGAGGACAAAACAGCGACTGTGAGCACTGTTATTTTTCATTGTGACCTTACAAAATATACAACACAAATGGATTATTTGGTGAATATATTTTTAAGATTCCATACATATTAGCCAATCGAAAGTCTGAGAATCAACTGTAACTTCAGGAGGGTGTCTGATAAATATTCTAGGACACTGGGGAGTTGGCCTGTTCTCAAAATGTCTAAAGAAACGTTTCAAATGGATGATCTGGTGAATATTTTTAAAAAATTCCATACATATACATATCAGCCAACTGAAAGTCGGAGAAGCAACCATCATTTAAGGATTTCGGATCAATATTCTAGGACCTAGAGTACTAGGCCTGTTGTCATCAAACTGTCTGAAGAAATGTTTCAATTTTGATATTTCAAACCTTTGCTGAATTTGCTTTTACAAAGTTACCTTTTTTAGATTTCAAGGGAGGTCACTCTCATTAAATTAATGCACACTTGGTTTCAATCTCCTACTGGCAAACAAGGATAAGTTGAGCACTGACCTGACAATTGACCCGTATTAGCATGTATTTTGCCGCCCACTGGCGCTTGCCATTGTTAGCAAAGGGCCCCATGTTGTCCGTGATCAAGTGTAGTGCGGCTTGCTACACTGACGTGAGTCTTATGAGCAAGGCGTGTGCAGCTACACGCGGAATCAATTTCATCTGCATGCAATGCACGTGCACTAGCCTACACCTGCTCTACCTTTCACAAACCAAATGGGTTTGCTCATTGCCATGCACCGCCTACTTCTCGTAAACGCGTTCTCTGCACCGGTCCAACTTATCCTTGTTTGCCAGTATGTACCGGTATTAGTTTAGGTCTTGTCAAAATTAGCAACATGTGAAGCATTGTGTATTCATAACATGTGAACCTAAGAGGACTTATGTTACTCTTGCGCTGATACAAAGTGAATTACTTGAATCAAACTCGCTGGGGCTGCCAATCTTCTCCAGCCTGGTCTTACATTAATAACAGAGTACCTTTACATTTTCATCAAATCATCCTCAAAGAATATGACATGGATGAATATTCATTAGTACATTAGAACTTTTCATTTAACATGGTTACAAATTTCTTACAGAATCAAAACCACAGATTTTCACTTCTACTCGGAACTGAAATATTCATGAAATTATTTCAACAGTAACTTCAGTAACAATAAACTGAAATCCAACGTATATACATATGTAAAAGGGATATAATTCATTTTCAATTCAACAAAGAATAATTTTGATCGCTGGCAAACACTTTCTGTGAAATATGTTTGTTACATGCACTGACCAAACGTTTAAAATAAACCATTCCTTGTACCAGAGAATCCTCATGTTAGTTTGTATGTTTGGTCCCAAATTTGACTATCTACACAACAATCACGTACAACATTGCCAGTATCAGGTCCTACTGTAGTATACAACCAGTTACAAATATTAAAAATATCCAGTAATCATTCCTGCAAATATGATCCTTAACAAACCATGTTGAATTTAAAAAAAAAAAAGGTTTTCTGCAGATACAGTGAAAATCAGGCACGGGGTTATCTGCATTTCCACAAATGGTTAACATAAAAACGTCTGAGGTATGTTTCAGTGATGAGGCAGAGTTGTACAGGATTTACAAGATGCAGTATTAACTGAGGTGCTGTCTCAAGCAATAAGTCAAACTGTAACCTTGACAGGCTGACTTTGCAGACATTGTGACCATCAAGCAAGCCCTTACCTGCTGTCAGTTACTATTAAGTCCACAGACTTCAAGTGACATTCAGATCAACACACTACAGCCAAACTGATCAATATATTCACAAACTGCAGCCAAACTGACCATCAAATCCACAGACTGCGGCCATTTTGATCCCAGGTTCACTGACTGGAGCCATAGTGACGATCACATCAACACTGCAGCAAAAGAGACCATGAAAACCACTATGCAGCCATATTGTCCATCAAATCATTTTGATCCCAAATCCACTGTCTCCATAATGACCAACACATCTACTGACAGCATGCAGCCATATTGACCATCAAATCAACAGACCGGAGCCATAGTGACCACCAAATCAACACTGCAGCCATACAGAACATGAAATCCAGACTGCATCCATAGTGACCATCAAATCCACTGAGCCTCCATAGTGACCATCAAATCCACTGTTTCCATACAACCTATCACATCCACTGACAGCAGACAGCCATACTGCCACATCCAAATCCAGACTGCTGACCACTACTAGCAGCCACATCCACATAGCAGACAAACTGACCACTACATGAAGATGGCACCAATTGTGACTGCTACAACCAGCTGCTCCACAGACCACAGACAAGGAGACCATTTACTCTAAACTGAAATTGTGACCAATTTAGCCACCAAATCCACATTTTCAATTTTCATTTTAAGATTATGATTGGGCATTCTGAGCTGCTGTCAAGGACTACTTACTGTATGTGATGGAGTTTGATTTAAGTGACTGTTGCCGTTTTGAAAGTTTACCACTTTGAAGATACCCATGAACAAAGTTCAGGTGTAGATAAAACTAGAAACCTATTCCAAGTGAATCAAATCAGGAATTACTAACAGATACTGTCACCCATAAGGGAGACAGCTCCGACACTTTTTCTTGGCTATTTGAGCCCCTTGATTGATGGTGGTGTAACAATACAGCTACACGCGTCACAATAAAGTAGATTTTTTAAAACAATACATGCAATTCGCCGTATGGAAATAAGAGTACTGTATAGTGATATGAATCATATCACACAATTTATGGGGATATGTATCAACTGCGGCCTAACCAAATCATAACATGTAATGGTTGATCTTAACCTTAAAGTAGATGTAATAATTAGAGTGTTTAATATCAGAGTGAGTGAGTGAGTGAGTTGGGTTTTACGCCGCTTTTAGCAATATTCCAGCAATATCACGGCAGGGGACACCAGAAATGGGCTTAACACATTGTACCCATGTGGGGAATCGAACCCGGGTCTTTGGCGTGACGAGCGAACGCCTTAACCACTAGGCTACCCCACCGCCCCGTTTAATATCAGAGGACCATTGTAACCTTGGGATGAGGTAGGGCTATACAGCAAAGGCACCACTTTATAGTATGTAACAAAGCACTTTACTCCAAAGGGACAGTCACTTCAGGCTTCTTTCTGGTCAGCCCATCTACACAGATGTTTTGAAATTCTTGAGAGAAACAGCATGGCATTTGGAGAAGCATATTTGATTTCAATATCTCAAACATGAACATAAGTGGTTGGGTCGAACTCCACCCTGGACACTATTCTAGTTTTGTATCATGGTAAGTCGTCTTTGATGCAACCCATTGGCAGTTACTGCGATGACAAACCAGATCAAACAATAAGACATGTCATCAATATCCCCCGACTGACTGACTGACTGAATTTGGTTTTACGCCGCTTTAAGCAATAATCCAGCAACATCACGGCGGCAATATCCCCCGAAACAGTGTTCTGTTCCTATTTTGAAAACCAAAGATTGGGAAAGGCAGGGGCCATGGGCCATTTTGCACATTAGAATGAAAACTGGCCCATTAAAATTTTGAAGTTTACTATTGATTCAAGGGCATTGGCCCATTCTAAATTCAGAAAATGGCTAATAATCCTGAAAACGGCCCATTGTAAAAGTTCTCTATCCCAATCCCTGGAAAACTATTCATTCTTCCTACAAATAGCGACACATAAGCTGTCAAATGAGAAAATCTGTCCCCATTGGGGATACTGAGCAAGAAATGCATGACAAGGGCAATAACTCTGTTACAAATTGTAACATGGTTTCCATCAAGGCATTCATGTCCTGAAAACACATACCAAATTAGGTTTCTCCATCTATAACAATTTTTGAGAAAATCTGTCCCCATCATCTCGGACGGAACGACAGAGCTCAAACCTACATCCCCCTCCTCCCACTTCATGGTGGGGATAACATGGGTGAACCGAGATTCAAACAAATCATTATAGGATCATTGCACGCCCAAAATATGCAACTCTGAACATCAAATAGCATCGCCATCGGCAACTGAATCACCCTTCCTTCTGGCATCACCAGAGTCTGTGAGTGAAAGTTCTGACCAATATTCCAGTTATATCACGGCATGTCAGCTTAATGCGGGGATGGCAACAGGAAAACCTAATATTGTGTCACCGAATGGGGGGGTTTGAATTGATCAATTTGAAATATAATCGGCGGATATCTGCAGATCAGCGGAAGATTGCCATCTATGTTAATGTGCAAAAAAAACCCTGAAGTGATGCATGACATTTACCATTTTGGTGAACCCACACATACATGCATGGTACAGACAAATCAGGATTCAAACTAGGACTGCAACAACCTGGTTCCATTCATCAAAATCGAATCAGATTTGATTTTCGATAAGCATTATCACTATTTCGATTCGATATTTGAATATCCTTTTGTATTATTTCCACACAGCGAGAACGTAATCTTGACTTAACTCGAGCTGTTTTGAGCACTGAAATAAGGCGAAACATGATTGGTTGACGCCGGGTTAATTATCCAATGAGAATTGTTGCTAGTAGACATTGCCAAAGTGTTGTTCTGTGTTTAAATGTCATATTTTATTTGTTTGAAAAAGGTTACAACATTCCTGATTTCCCAGTAATATCTTGCAAAAAAGTTTTCAGTGTGATGTTTTGTTTAATAAACTCTGAGAGTTAAATGAAATCTGATGTTTTTTGTATGAAGAATCGAATCGAGGGTCCAATATCGAAAATCGTATATTGAGATCTGCGTGAATCGTTGCAGCCCTAATTCAAACCCAAAAGTTTCTATCAAATCCAAGGGACACAACTCCCACACAGTGAAGGTTAGAAGTGTTAGAACCTGGCTCGACTTAGGAGAGAAGAGCAAGGTTGAGAAACATTTTGTAAAATCCAGTTTCATATACATTGACTTTTATTTGATTTTTTGAATGCCCTTTACACAAATATGACAAAATCATGTTTGGACCAAACAGCTAAAAAATGATAACTAACAAGTAATGACGATGTTACACATAACATGCCTTGTAAACACGACACCAAAGGTTTCTGATTGCTAGATTCACATTCAAATTGGATTACTCATCACCATGGAAACGATCACCAACTGAACAAATATGAAACCTTCAAATAGTAAACATAGTTAACAAAATAAGCAAACAGTGAAGAAAACTTCAAATCAACAGAAAGGAACTTCAATTTCTTGCAGAGTTTTTAACCAATGTTCCGAGATCTGTACAAATAAAACATCCTCTATAGTACCTCAACATGAGTGAGTATGGTTTTACGTCGCTTTTAGCAATATTTCAGCAATATCCCGGGACATGAACTTCACACACTGTACCCATGTGGGGAATCGAACCCGGGCCTTCTGCATGATGGGCGAATTATTAACAAGCCCACCACCCCTAGCTCAACATGAAACAATCACTAATGTTATTAACGCTTCACAGTGGACAAAACACCCATGATCTACGAATGGATGGGTTCATACAGTCTCATTACTCACAACAAAGGTCAATGGCAAGAGGATGGTCATATCCAACCTGACTGCAGTTAAATTCAAACTAATGCAAGATAACCAGCTTTCAGTAGAAATTAGATCCTCAAGATTTTCACTAGTCTTGGACTAACAGACAAGTGGTTATGTTATGCAATGTTGTTCCCTGTCGCAGGTTATTATGGTATCAATAAAAGCCATCCACATTTTGCTTTTGGCCCAGAGGACAGTGAGTGATTATGGTTTTACGCCGCATCTAGCAATATTCCAGCAATATCATGAGCGGTAGGATGCCAGAGTTGGGCTTCACATATTGTACCCATGTGGGGAATCGAACCTGGGTCTTCAGCATGACAAGCGGACGCCTTAACCATTAGGCTACCCCAGAGGACAATGAAAAAATTGGTGTGGTACAAAACATAAGACTGGTTCCCATTTCTAACATCTCAAACATACAGGTTTCTTGTACAAAGTCAGAAGAGAGGTAATGCTTTGGACTATATTTCCAAGGTGAAGGTAATCCAACGTGAATGCGAAACTGGACAGAAACAGACAATGAATACAATGATGAATGCAGATGGTATTTACAACGCATCAAATGGCTGACATGAAGGATGATTCTCTACATAGCACAGCAATGAGTACATAACCCGCTTCAGATAGGTGCACTAGTTTTAAAATATTTGATATATTTGATTTATTGCAATAGTATCTGTACAGACTTAAAACAAGGGAAATCCCTCCACTAGAGGGACTGATTTGCACTGAATTCAAGCACTCGCCCAAAGTTTAATGACGGCCAGTAAGGGTAGACACCTTTGGTCAAATCTGACTTGTCTGCTACTCATATTGGACTAGTGCTTCAAAAGTTGGGTTTTTTAAAAATAAACCAAGTCCCTTTGGATTTTCACGTATACGAACTAGAGACCCTGAGCATCTCTTTCAATGTTATTTTAGAAACTTGCAAATTACATTTGCATTTAATTTGGACGCTCACCACATTGTTTACATTTATAGAACGGCAAATACAAACAGTCCAAAACTCTGACCTAACATATGATTGATACTTCCTTGATATATATACTCAACAAGACCTCGAACAGATGCGTACTTGTTGGAACTAGACTTTTGGTGTTTATGAATGTATGAAGTCTCAAGAAAGTTATACAGATCATATACAGTTATCAGAGAGCATTGCATGGTGTGACAATCTGACATCTCGTCCTCATGGTTTTGTTTGACATTGCTAAAACAATCCTGAATTGTTTTAGCAGTCTTGGAATCAAGGAACGGTAACTTAAAAACTGGCACCAGAAACCAAAATCCTTGTATTTCTTGTAACAGACAATTACAGGGCTCGATTTTAGGAAATTAGATCTATACTTTCACCAGGTGCAAGCTGACAAAACAAGCTGCACCTGGTTAAAACCTTGTTGCACCTGAAAAAACCCCAAACAGGCTGGACCCTTGTCCCATAAATTTATCAAAGTTGAAAAATGCACAAAGCTAACAAGAAAATCATCTGACATTAACACATGGTTTGGTGAGGGAGCATGGTAAATCACACTTACAGGGACTGAATGTATTTAACGACCAATGTTGTTTGCATCAGTAAGGGTTAGCGCATGTTGGTGACAACGATTTTGTTGCCTTTTCCAATAAATACCTACACTGAAACATGTCCTATATAGACAGTTAAATCGAGCCCTGTATTACCTAGAGCCGTAAAGTACACTGTTACTTTCAACCGATTCTCAGTCTTGGATGTGACCTACCAGTGACGTAACTAACCACTACACCACCAAATCACCAGTTCTTGAGAGACGGACATCAAATTACAAATTTAATAACATGGTGAGTGTGGGTCATCAGGTTATCATAAACACATGCTGAATCTTCTCATAGCCTTTATACAATTACTGAATTGTTCTGTGAACAGTACTTTAGTGAAGATGCTTTTTCACAACCTTCACAAAAACTGCAGAATTCTCAACATATACACATTGCCTCGCAGACAACTGTCACCATGGTAACCATTTTGGAATGAAGATATCTAAGTAATGATACTAGACACCTTGTAACACTTCAAAACATCTTGTTTGAGAAAAAACATCAGTAAACAACATAATCAAATTGATGTTAAGTATAAACATACTTAGATTCTTCACTGTAAATTTATCGAAAACTATTAAAAAGGCAACTTTCCAAAAGTACAAGATCCTTAAAATGGTTGTCATATACTAGTAAGATATAGTAAAAGTTATGAGACATGCTTGAAATTTGTTCGGTCGCGATGAGTAGTTCTGAGTGGAGAATTCAGCTCTTCTGTGACATGTTTCGCAGAACTGTTTCGGATGGAATTCTGCAATGTCAGCAATTCCCTGCTCAAGTTATCTTAAACAGGTCAAGGTGTAAATACAGGGAATTTCTCAAGTCTTTTCTGATCTTCTTCTGTGTCACATCTTGCAATGATGATGGAGTGTGCGTAGCCACATGCAATGGCGTGGACGTGAACACCATCTAGCAGCTTGACTTCCTGAGGTGTAGTTGAAGATCTCATCTTGTTCTCACCGTAACCCTGGAAAAACACATTGTTTGATGCAATAACGTTGGTTAACAACCACTGGGGTAAACAAATTAGAATCAGAGTGAGAGATAGAGAGTACTAACCCTGAGACAGGATATGTTTAAAAAATGGTCATATTCAATTTTGCCTTGACTGTCTTTCGTTGCTTTTTCTATGGTGAGTTAGTGAGTTTAGTTTTACGCCGCACTCAGCAATATTCCAGCTATACGGTGGCAGTCTGGACCATACAATCCAGTGATCAACATCTTTTTATGAGCATCGTTTTATGCCATTGGGATACGATGACGTGTCAATCAAGTCAGCAAGCCTGACTATGCGATCCAGCGAGTCTGCCTCTTATGACAAGCATGGGTTACTGAATACCAATTCTAACCCAGATCTTCACTGGTTTCAAAGTGGAAACACAGACCCAAGTGATGGGTCATAGCTTCTCGTGTAAATAACCAGCAATCAGGAAACTGATCAACTTTTCATCTGAAAAGGGACAGAAGGAAAGCCTTCTTGTCGAAGAGTTTGCTCGTCACTCCAAACCCTTGTTTGACTTCACACATAGCCTTTGTTTGTTTGTTTGTTGTTTAACGACGTATATTCCAGCTATATGGTGGTGGTCTGTAGAAAATAAAATCTGAACCAGACAATCCAGTGATCAACAGCATGGGCATGGATCTACTCAATGAGATATGATGAATTACATCAACCAAGTCAGCAAGCCTGACCACCAGATCTGTTAGTCGCCTCTTTCAACAAGCATGGGCAGCTGAAGACCAGTTCTAAACCGGATCTTCATGGGTTCCACTGAGTGTAGCCTATTCCTTGTGTCATCTGAATAATACCAGCAAAGTTTCTATAACTTACAAGTTCACCAAATGTTGGACTTGGGCCCCAGCTAATGACACTCTCATCTGCGGACAGCATTATACTGCGATTACTGCAATGAAAAAAATACACACGTGTTTGTGTTATTCCAGCCACGGACCATGATGAGAACATTTATGGTTTCAGTAATCTCCACCTACTTCTCTCGAATTTTCAAAAATATTTACTGACATGAAAACAAAGTAGGGTGATGGCTGCTATATATCTCCTGCTTTGTACAGCTTTGATTGGATGATGATGATGATGATGATGATGATGATGATGATGATGATGATGATGATGATGATGATGAGGATGAATATGGTTGTTATAACATCTTTTCCTCACTGATTTTAATGCCATATGTTTACATATTAGAGGTCTTTTGAGCACCTTTGGAAAGTTTCAACGACCATTTAATATTACCAGCTTGAACAGCTAAATAACCAGGGTTACAACAAATCTACTGTGTGGCAACTATGATACATATCACAATTAGGGGGAACAAATACGAATATTGGGTAATAAATACAATAACAAGCCGGCAGTTGATGTATAATTCATAGTGAGTGAGTTTCTTTTTACGTCGCACTCAGCAATATTCCAGCTATATGGCGGGTATGATTCATAAAGAAGTTCAGAACAGTGAGGGAGTGAGTGAGTTTAGTTTATGCCGGACTCAGCAATATTCCAGCTATATGGCGGGTATGATTCATAAAAGAAGTTCAGAACAGTGAGGGAGTGAGTGAGTTTAGTTTTACGCGGCACTCAGCAATATTCCAGCTATATTGCGGCAGTCTGTAAACAATCAAGTCTGGACTAGACATTCCAGTGATCAACAGCATGAGCATTGATCTACTCAATTGGGATACAATGTCATGTGTCAACCAAGTCAGCGAGCCTGATCAACCGATCCTGTTAGTCGCCTCTTACAACAAGCATGGGTTACTGAAGATCAATTCTAACCCAGATCTTCACGGGTAGTTTAGAACCAAGTCTTACCAGCAGCCCACACTGCGTATTTTCCACCCTGTCAGATCATGTACAAGTTTGGGATACATTGCTGCCTCTCCTGTTGTCTTTGTCTGGCCCCATAAATACAGAGCACCTGCAAAATACAAAAGTGACCTCAAATACAAAATGCTCAAATTTAACAAGTGTTATATTTGGGATCATAATTTCTTTGAGAGGCATTTTAGAAGTTGTGAAGATGAAAGAAAACAGTTCTTGCTTCTTTATTGCAATAACAGTGTAGGTACTAACACACTTGCTTGATAACGGTGTTAAACATCACACTCATTGCAATAAAGAAGTTGACTATCCATAGAACTTAGTTTTCTTTCATTTGGGATCATAGTTTTCAGCGTAGTCAGTCCAACAGTGCCTGAACCACATTATTTTCCCTACTGCCTAGCCCTTCCTGCAATGCCAAAGCGCTAAATGAAGCAAGTCTAGATTTCCTCAGGTTCTGAATCTCCCATCTCACTGGGTTTCAAGTTCTTAAAAGGCATTTAGAAACTGGACAAACATGAAGGAGGAAGAATTAGCTCTGAAACGTCATATAAAGAATAACAAGAAGTATTTATCCATAAAAACATATCATGTATTCACTGGGGCTCCTTTTCAATTTAAAAGGAATTTTTGTTTCTATCCAAATTATATATATTCAGAGGCCCAGATAAGCTGCGTATCCGGGTAAAAAACGCATAGAAAATTTCCAATTACGCATTGAAAAATAATTGTTGCGTACCAATTACGCTTTTAAAATGTTAGATACGCAAAAAGTTTAAAACAAATGCGTACGGAATATATTTATAACAAGCGTTTGCGTAATGAAAAAGACATCGATTGCTATCAAGTTGTACTGTTAGTATAGGACTAGTGTTGTACTGTCAGTATAGGATCAGTGATTTTTTATGAAATCATTTCCATTATATTTAAGTTGGTTTTGATTAGGTATGACATAAGGCAGAACATACCTGCTTAGTAAACTTACTCAATGACATAATACTTAGGTGAGTAAAATTACTGAAATACGCACATATTTGAAAGCAGTGGATAACGGAAAATGAAATACCCACTCAACATTCATAATATCCACTCCAAAACATACAGTGGGTACAGTACCCACATGAGCTAAATCTTATCTGGAGCTCTGCTAAGTGTTAGTCTACTTTCAGCCATACAACCTATCCTAACCTGTCATTATTTGATCTAGGGGAAATGGGGTTAAACAAGGTTGTTGCATGTACAGTCGAGCACCGTCGCGATATTCATGGGACCAAGAAAAAGAAATCGTAGTGTTTAGTCATAACATTGAGTACTTCCTAATTAAATCCTTCTTAATTAATCCTAATTAAATACAAAACAACTTCAACTCCATTAGCCCTAGCTACTTTACACTACCACATGCCTTTGATTCAAGCAGCACTGTGTGGAAACGTGTGGAAACAACCTCAGTTCAGAGGGATACTTGCCAATGCCAGGTAGGTGAATATCGAGTTTCTTTGCAAACATCGAGTTAAAAGGATAATTTTTGGGACATCCACATCGAGTTAAAAGCGCTTAAATAATGATAAATTATGAAGGATTTTGCCAGGAGCAAGATGTTATATTGAGACAACCGAGATATCGAGTGATCAGACTTTGACACAACGGTGCTCGACTGTATATAGAGATGTCTGTGTTTCCATGAGTCCGGTCTATCCCAGAGTAATACGATGCAAACCAGCCCTTGTCTTAGACCCTTAATGACGAGCACCAAGACATGGTATTGGTAAAAACAAACACATTCCTATGTCTCTTAGTATGATGTCGATGGGTATTGAACCGCTGACCCCATACTTTCCAGGCTGTTGTTTTCAACTTGGAATACCAAAAAGAGTGCTTTGCTACTGGTGTTTATCTGAAGCTTGAATCCCAGCTGTCTGCTTACCTAGTTCGCTGACTGCCATGCTGTATGTTGAACCTGCGTAGATTTGTGACGCACCCCGGTTGGGGCCTTCAAAGAATTTCAGAAGTCTTGGCACAAGATCATCCTTTGGTTCGGCATGACCTAGCCTCCCATAGCCTCCAAAACCCCATGTGAATATTCTTTTCCTCGTGTCGAGGACTAACTGTCAACACAAAAAGGGCATGATGTCTAAAAAGAAGGACATATTGCGTCAGACAAGGTCATGTTGCCTACACATGGCAGAATGGCAGTACACAAGGTAAATCAAAAAACTTTCATGTACAAGGCAACATTGCAACACACAAGGTTGTATTGTGATTGACAATACCATATTGCGACAGACAAGGATGTGTTGCCATATACAAGACCCAATCTCGATACACAAGGTTGTATTGTCAGACAAGGCTGTATTTCGATACCAAACCTGTTTACATTGAAGATATTGCCATAGTGAGTCAGTTGAGTTTTACACTGCTTTTGGCAACATTCAAGCAATATCACCTCAGGAGACACCAGAAATGGGCTTCACACATTGTACTGACTGACTGAGTTTTGTTTTACGCCGCTTTTAGCAATATTCCAGCAACATCACGGCAAGGGACACCAGAAATTTCACACATTGTAACCATGTGGGGAATGGAACCTAGGTCCTCGGCGTGACGAGCGAAAGCTTTAACTGCTGGGCTAGCCCCCTGCCCTTATCGTCATAATGAAATTGTGACAAAATGCTTCTAAGACTCCCAGGGCTCCAGATAATTTTTCAACATCAGGAGTACATACTCCTTATTTGTTCAATATTGAGTACTGGAAAACCTTAAGTGTACATTGAGAGTACTGACTGGAAGCTAATGAACTATCAGTAATCTTGTGTTTTGTTTCATATATGCACCACAACATTGCTACTCTTGTGTAAACAGGTCAATAACCAATACTTTTTTTCAGATAAATACATCTGTAAATGATTCTAAGACCGTACACTATTGGTCTGGTGCGTATCTGCTACGTTTTCTAAATTATTTCCTACCGTATCGTGCATATTTTTTATCCGTACATATTCGATACGGCCCTTATCTGGAGCCCTGACTCCTGAGTGTCATTGGTTTTCATGATGTCACAATCTAATGACAATCATTCTCAGAAATTATAGACACTCAGACAAAACAAGTCCTTGTTTTATCCCCCAATACTAAGCACCATGCAGTGAACAACTATCATATGATGTGGGGTGGTGTGGGTAGCCTAGTGGTTAAAGCGTTCGCTCTTCACACTGAAGACCCAGGTTCGATTCCCTACATGGGCAAAATGTGTGAAGCCCATTTCTGGTGTTCCCCGCCGGGATATTGCTGGAATATTGCTAAAAGCGGCGTAAAACTAGTCTCACTCCATATGATGTGGTAAGCAATCGAACCGATGACCCCCTGCACTCAAGGTCATGGACGTCACAGACTGTAACAAAGCTGTCTGTGACAGCAACCTACCGCATGATTGACGCCACAGGCGATGTCTCGTACATCCACATCCGACACAGGAACAACATGGCCGTCTCGTGTCTTCTCAATGAACACGACCACTTTTCTTGGTACCAGTTCACACTTGAATGACAATTTGTTACTTGTGACGAAAAATTTACCATCTGAATTATGACCTAGAATGAGAGGACAACAAAATTGAGAACATGGTGAATGTGACATCTTTTCGCAAACTTCCCAGTTGACGATTCACAGATCACTGCTTGTGATATAGTTCCAATTTTTTCACCCTTTATTGAAATGAAACAAATTCAGAGATCAACAGGTTTAGCTATACCATGGCGAACAGTAAATAAAGTCAACCAACGTATGCTGTTGTCAGTGTATGAAATAAGCCAAAAGCCCAGCCAGACACCAGGGCTGGTAATATCAAAATGTTACCAGCCAAAAATGGCTTTAACCAATCCGAATTTTAGACAATCCAAAGAAAATTACTCAGATGTATGGAACATGTTTTCTAAAAATTTTACCAGACCATCGGGATGGCTACCTATAAATGTAGACCGTCCGTCAGAAATCTAGCCTGTCTCGGGCAGTTGGACGAGCCTCATTCCATACACTGCTGTTATGGTTGTAAATAACATTTTCACTGGTAAAAGGATATGGTTATTGAGAGGGGCTTAAAGATGTCAATGATTAGTTTAATATTATTGAAATGTTATAATTCAATGAGAAAATAAGGAAGTTAACATCTAATGCAACTCCAGTTAGATACAGTGTGGACATTATCCACATCAATATTTTGAAACGTATATTAGATTATCTCATATTTCTATATGCAATAAAAAAACTGACAGTCCATGGATTAAAAGTTTTGATTTAAATAAGAAAATCTCTTTTCATAACAACCTACAATTATTGTATTTGCTGGAGGTACAGTGATCACACTGAAAACCCATTTCAGAGATGCCAACCCTCAATCTAATGAAAGCCGAGTCTGAGCACTGACAGTGTGAACTCACAGGGGGTGACCACGTGGTCGGCTCCATTTTGTTTCATGTACATACGGGCTAAGACATGCATTCGAAGAAAAACTTTGTCATCAATAACATGGAATATGCACAATCGAGACCCAAAAGATCACACACTAAGCTTCCAATGCTTTTTCCGGTGTCAACTCAAATAAATTACTGGTGACATACGAAATTGTATACCATTAAAAACATTTCAGATTTTTTTCTAAAAAAATCAGTTTTTTTAAAGACAAATTGGAGAGAGGATTTTGTTTAGGAAAATCGGAGTAACTCCTCTTAAATCGGAGTGGTTGGCATCTCTGCCATTTTAAACCGAGATCCTCATTAACTTTTCAGAGAGTCTCCAGGACTTGCATATAAATAAACCAATTCCTGGTGATGGTAATGTTAAAGAGTACTGAGATATCCACCCACCCAACTGCCCGTACTCGGGACACCCGAAGGAGTAGAGGTTTCCATTGATATCTGACATCATGCTGAACTCCGCTCCACAAGCTACCTTCCTGATTGGAGGACCCTTGAACTGGATCTGAAAACAACAAAACAATATTCAATCTAATTGTTGAACACACAAGTCGCACTTGTCATCACATCCCATGTAGACTGATGCTCATGATGTTAATCAATGGATTGTCTGGTCCAGACTTGGCTATTATCAAATTGCTGCAATATAATGCAGCATAAAACAAATACGTAATATTTATGATAAAATTAATATTTTATACTTATCCTGACTCATGCTTATTTGCTTTCTCATCCTCTCTTCCGAACGGTCAAGTGGAAACTTGAATCCCTTAAATTCCCTTGAAGCGAACGTACAATCCCCCACCCTGAGTTACCTCCCTTATTCCCGCCAAAACCTGCACGTGACCTACTCATGCCTTGGTCCTCACTCTCTCCTCTATTGCCCTATAAAAAGTATAAAACTAAACCTCCAAATGCCTCCTTGTTAGTAATTTCAAGGGTCCTTACAGGCACTAAGTCCCCCAGGATGCACTGTTTTCTGTATCCATTCTATACATCTGTGCGTATAGGGGGCATATGTCTGGATCATATAAAACCCTGACGGCCACAGAAGAAGCTAATACCATCTGGAACCTTTTCCCCATGCAGTAAGTGAGTAAGTTTAGCTTTAACGGCTTTTAGCAATATTCCAGCAACATCACGGCAGGGGACACCAGAAATGGGTTTCACACATTGTACTCATGTTGGGAATCAAACCCGGGCCTTCGGCGTGACGAGCGAACACTTAACCACTAAGCTACCCCACCGCCCCTCCCCATGCAGACTTACCCTGGTGGGACTGGGGACTGACGGACTCTGATGGCCGAGACCAAGCTGACCCATCTTGTTGTCTCCACAAGCAAAGACTCGACCCTTGTCTGCCAACAGACATTATAGAGATCAGTCAGTGATAGAAAATTCATCACCAGTCACACTGTGGTTTGCAGAGCATCTAATTTGTTTACATCTTCTGGTCATGACACAAAATACAGAACAGTCTACAGTACAATACTATCACATGATTCCAAGTTAATTCAAGTTATTCAAGATAATGGTTGAAATAAAAAGGATGGATGGATGGATGGATGGATGGATGGATGTAAAGAGATACAATTCCTAGGCATAATCAGGGCTCCAGATAAGGGCCGTATCAAGCGTATGTACGGATAAAAAATATGCACAATACGGAAGGACATATTTTGGAAAAAGTAGCAGATACGCACCACAGCAATGGTTTACGGTCTTAGAATCATTTACAGTTGTATTTATCCGAAAAAGGTATTGTTTTATTGTTTATTGACCTGTTTACACAAGAGTAGCAATGTTGTGGTGCATATATGAAACAAAACACAAGATTACTGGTACTCCATTAAATTCCATTCAGTACTCTAAATGTACTCTTAAAGTTTTCCAGTACTCTTATATTGAAAAAATAAGGAGTACGTACTCCTGATGTTGAAAAATTATCTGGAGCCCTGCATAATTATATACCTCTAATCTTTTACGGCACCAAGCTCCTCTGGGTGGTAAGTGTATAAGCTCTGCCTACTGGACTGTATTTATAAAAACTCTTGATTTTAGATAGACATTTATGTTTTGTTTTATAACTATGCGACTGTTGTAATTGATTTGACACAAATTGATTGTAACAAAGACTATGGGTCCCACCTGTGAGGAACAGTGTGTGATTCTTCCCTACAGCTGCTGAGATGATATTGATATCCTTGAGGCACTCCACAGCTGTTGGGACATCCCGCCTCACTGCGTCACCAGTGCCCAGCTGACCCTTCTCATTACGACCTGAAACACAACATGAAAATCTTGCAAGGCTCATACAGAAAATTCCAGCCAAACCTACTTTTATCGATAGCTAATTCTTATTGTTGCAAATGGAAACATTGTTTCAAACTTGTGTATTTTGAAGATTTTTACATCAAATCAACCGTGCCCATGAAGAAATACATATTATCTTTGCCTTGTGCATCTTGACATACTGATCACGTCTATTTGTAAAACAACGGACATCTTGACATACTGATCACGTCTATTTGTAAAACAACGGACATCTTGACATACTGATCAAGTCTATTTGTAAAGCCACGGACATCTTGACATACTGATCAAGTCTATTTGTAAAACAACGGACATCTTGACATACTGATCAAGTCTTTTTGTAAAACAACGGACATCTTGACATACTGATCACGTCTATTTGTAAAACAACGGACATCTTGACATACTGATCACGTCTATTTGTAAAACAACGGACATCTTGACATACTGATCAAGTCTATTTGTAAAACAACGGACATCTTGACATACTGATCAAGTCTATTTGTAAAACAACGGACATCTTGACATACTGATCACGTCTATTTGTAAAACAACGGACATCTTGACATACTGATCAAGTCTATTTGTAAAACAACGGACATCTTGACATACTGATCACGTCTATTTGTAAAACAACGGACATCTTGACATACTGATCACGTCTATTTGTAAAACAATGTGCATCTTGACATACTGATCAAGTCTATTTGTAAAACAATCAGACTCATGTTGGCCTTGTTTCATAAATTGAATTCATGCATGAACATGCAACAGACCCTCCAATAATGGGTTATCAAACTTCAAAGTGTCAATATCTAGCTTAACATGTCCCAAAAAAACCCTTCCATCAACCATTCATTTAACTCCCATTAACATGTTACCAAACTTCCTTAACCCTTTCAACACCGCAGGCCGAATAATCGGCCACAACGTTATGAGTCCCCAGACACCGGAGGCCGATTAATCGGCCAGGCAGTAGTCACGTCAAAATGAGACATAATTTTAGGAACCTACCCGACTTTTGATTCATATATCAAATCTATTACATTTCACAATGTCTGAAAACACTTATCAAATTTCAATTTATCATATATTATTAGCAGAATTAAAATTATAAACTATTTTTCGCAATGTTCTTGAAAACAACGATTCTCGGACACATGCTTGACGGCGGGTCTCAATAACATTGTCAAGAGCAAAATAGCGATGTTTGAGAAATTATTAAATAAATTGAATAAACTAATGAATAAAATCAACAACAGCATTCATTAAAGTTGTCAAGCGTACATATAAAATTACTATTTCCATCTTTTTCTGCGATCATGTAATGCAAGTCAAGTCACTGACAAATGACATCTCGGCTCGCCGCTCAATCTTCAACAGCTTTCGGACCACGATGTTTAATCGCGAAAATACATACATGAAGCATTTTTGTCATGCAGGTCATAACCAAGCCGCGATCACGTCAATAAGTTCCATAATTTACATTATAGGTAGCGATTTCTTGCCTAATATGTTCAGAATACCATTATTTTACCCAAAACTTTTGTCAAAATCTAAAAGTTTTCATTTACGAGGAGGATATCCATTGCTGTTATATGATTGGCTGCCTTAGGTCGATGTCTGATTTTGACCAATGGCGATCCTTTATAGCAGACTGTGGCGAAAAAGCGTCATGACATCAAGCGATTTGCAGCATGTTATTCATCTGAAGAAAGCGGAGGTATTTTCAGTTGTTATGTCATTTTACCAAGCGGAAGCCACAGATATCGGAAATAAGGCTGACCATACATATTGTTTAAGAAATCTTTTTATAATAATTTTCTGATTACGTAAAGATGAAAATATACAAGAAAAAGGCACGGGCATATTATGACATGTCACAAATGGGAAAAAATCGCCATAGTTTTTGCTCCTTTCGTGGTTTATCTGGGCGTTATAAATGTAAGCTTGCATTTTCATTCAAATATAAATTTATTTAAGTTGTAGTTGTATTATTTGAATAATATTATAAAAATAAACTTCATATTTATCAACAGTAGGATTAGATCTTTTAAATGGTGTATGGGATGTAGTAGCAATAACGTTTTACAAGCTTATAATTTCCTTCATAAACATAGGCTTCATCTATGACCTCAGAGTCTCTGGGAACTCGGTGTCATGGCAGTAAATACCTCTGGTTGACTGGTGTTGAAAGAGTTAACTATGTCACTAAAACTCTAACATGTCATTGAACTTAATTTAAACATGCCATTCAACCTCCTTTAACGTGTCATTTAACCTCCACTTACAGTAACACGTCATTTAACCTCCACTAACACGTCATTTAACCTCCACTAACACGTCATTCCACCTCCACTAACACGTCATTCAACCTCCACTAACACATCTTTCAACCTCCACTAACACATCATTCAACCTCCATTAACTCTTTCAACACCAGTCAACCAGAGGCCTTTACTGCCATGACACCAAGTTCCCAGAGACTTTGAGGTCATAGATGGAGCCTATGTTTATCAAGGAAAATATCTGCTTGTAAAACATTATTGCTACTACATATCATACACCATTTGAAAGGTCTAATCCTACTGTTTATAAATATGAAAGTAATATTTATGATATTATTCAAGTAATACGACTACAACTTAAATTAATTTTTAATGAAAATGCAAGCTTACACATTTATATGTCTCCAGATAAACCCCGAAGGAAGCAAAAAATGAGGCGATTTTTTTTTCATTTGTAACGTCATAATATCCCCTTACCCTTTTCTTTTATATTTTCATTTTTACATAATCGGTAACGTGATACAACAGCGTGAAATACCTCCGTTTTCGAAGCTTCGTATGAACAACATGTGAGGCGATTTGTTTGATGGCGGGTATCGCTCGAAAGCTCTGAACATCAACAATATCACTGTACCCTTGCCAAAAGTATTTTCACAGTTGTAAGAAGCGATTTTATTGGATAAAGATTGGTTTCTAATGACGCTTATTTGCCTCAGTCTGCTATAAGGATCGTGATTGGTCAAAATCAGACACGTGACCTAAGGCAGCCAATCAGATAACAGCAATGGATCCTGTCGTCGTAAACGAAAACCTGCAGGTTCAGACGAAAGTTTTGGGTAAAATCATGCTATTCTGAACGTGTTACGCAAAAAATCACAACATATGCGTATATTATGGAACATAGTGGACATATTGTGCTAGGTTACAAAAATGCTTCATGCATATATTTTAGCATTAAACATCGTGTCCGAGCGTAAAGTTCGAAGAGACAAAAGCCGAGATGTCACTTGAATTACATTACACGATCACACAATAAAGATGGAAATAGTAAGTTATAATGTTCGTTTGACAACTTTTATGAGTACTGTTGTTGATTTTATTCTTTAATTTATTTAATTATTTCCTCTAAACATCCTTAATTTTCTCTGATGTGTCTGAGAATCGTTTTTTTCAATAACATTGCGAAAAATAGTTCATAATTCTACTTCTGTCGATTATATATGGCCATTTGAAATGTAATAAGTGTTTTCAGGCATTATGAAAAGTGATAGATTTGATAAATGAATCATATGTTAGTTAGGTTCCTAAAATTATATATCATTTTGATGTGACTACTGCCTGGCTGGTTTTCCGGCCTACGGTATCTGGGGACTGGTGACGGGTGACGTCTTGGCCGGTTTTCCGGCCTACGGTGCTGAATAGGTTAATGACATGTAAGTGTGTTTTAGAATAAGAAAAATTATAGCTTAAATAGCTTATCGCAAAATCTATTTCAATGCTGCCATTAAGATCTCATTAATCCTTTAGTGTTCAATGTACCTGTTAGTCAAGGATGGTTTGAGACAATCAGGTCCAATTTGTTCCAGTGAATGTGTTAAGAATGACAGTCTAATCATGCTTAGTGTGCATGAGTGTGAGAGAGTGAGTGAGTATGGTTTTACGCCGCTTTTAGCAATATTCAAGCAATATCACGGCGGGGGACACCAGAAATGGGCTTCACACATTGTGCCCATGTAGGGATTCGAACCCGGGACTTCGGAGTGACAAGCGGACACTTTCACCACCAGGCTACCCCACCGCCCCGAGTGTGAGAGAGGGGGAAGAGGAGGTGGTGTGCCAGGATTAAGATGCACAAAACAACTATAACACTACAAAAGCTATAACTGTTGTATGTCTGTGAAAAGAGGGTTATAAAAGCCATATCGATTAAGACTGGGGTCAAGAATTCACCTGCATAAAAATTACAACGGTAATTAATGCTACAACAGTGGTAAATCTATTTTAAGCTATGGGAGACACAGCCATATTAGCGCTATGATCACCATGTGAAACTGGCCAACAACCTCAACTGTGTAACAAATTTCACATATTTCTGACTGCTGTCTAAATAGAAATGAACAATACTCAAGATGCTGGCCTTGCAATCCAAAATAACACCAAAGACGTTTTAGTAAAGTAAGTGTTATCACTAAGGTCGCTATACAGAATGTGACTGTGGTTTTATCAGTTCTGAACAGCAAAGTATTATTGACACTGACAGAATTTCACACAATTTGAAAACCAATTCTAAATTTGAGAAAAGATAGTTTCTACCTATATTTTGTTACCATCTTGAGAGAGAATATTTTAGAACATTTGCTTGAAGAATCCAAGTCAGATTCCCTGAAAAATAAAACATTTAAATGCATGTTTGCATGGCAATGGCCACAATCTGTCTTTCAACGAAAAAGAAAACATTTTCAAGAATTTCAATAGGCACATCAATTTCCATGACATTTCGAGGTTGTGAGATAAAAGTTACAACTCATTCATCTTATTTCAGTGTCTGTAACATTGTGTACAAGAACCATGTTTTGATTGGCTCTAAAGAAAACATTTTCAAGAATTTCAATAGGCACATCAATTTCCATGACATTTCGAGGGGAGATAAAAGTTACAACTCATTCATCTTATTTCAGTGTCTGTAACATTGTGTACAAGAACCATGTTTTGATTGGCTCTATTTCTAATTCGAAACCGGGACGTGACGAGCGTACACTTTAACCACTAGGCTATCACGCTGCTCCTCAGTGAAACAGTAAAACAAAACAATTTTTTATAAGGTTCTTGCATGACTACGGTAAATAACATGAGTTCAAGTGGAAACCACTGATTTGTCATGCACTCATAAATATTCGATTCAAGTGGCCACAAAATAAAGGGATTTGGTAAACTAAACACGTAAGTGAATTGTAACAGCCATAGTATTAACAAATGGATGAGAAGTTATATGATATATGAAACTGACCCCAAGTATAGACTTGTCCTTCTGTAGTGATGATGACGCAGTGACATCCAGTACTACCCGACACCACCGTCCGCACACGGACATTCTTCAGACTCGCAATACGATGGGGCCCCCATAGATTGGGTCCACCTCGGTTTTTTACTGAAATCAAATTACAATTTCAAACACTCATGATTCATAAACAATAGATTAGAATGTATAACCGAATAATATATTAGAAGGGTGTATATTCACTATTGTAATTCTATTTCAATAGTACCCAACATTACTGCATGAGTACTGTGACAGTATTAAACTTTCAGGATTAATGAGGTAAAATTTAATGCAGGCAATATTTCAGCCAAATAACGACAAAGCTTATAACCATATAATTATTAAATGTAATGAACAAATATTAATCTTGCACACATCGAAGTTGCTTTATGGCACATCAAAGATGGAAAGTTAGCTTGTTATAATAGATGGGTATTGGAGTTTCAAAGGGCAGGGATTGGGAAAGGAAGGGGTAATTGGCCATTTTGCACATTAGAATAAAATATGGCCCATTAAAATTTTGAGGGTTTACTATTGATACAAGGGCAGTGGTCCATTCTAAATTCAGAAAATGGCTAATAAGCCTGAAAATGGCCCATTGTCAAAGTTCTCTATCCCAAACCCTGAAAGGGTATCACAATATATTGCCAAACAAAATGCTGTATTGTTATACACACAATGATATATTGTATAATTCCAAATTTGGAGTTACTTTTAGCAATATTCCAGCAATACAACAGAAACAAGCATTGTCACTCAGGTGACATAATCCCCCGCCGCAAATTATCAAATCAAACTTATAAAGTAATGAAAGTTTAAGATGAAGTTAAATGTCAACAAAAACATGACCAGTCAACCTCTCTTGATATCTGGCTCTATAGTTGTTTAAACATATTTTCAAGACTGACTTTGACCTTGACATGAATGTCATAGTGTATGAAATATGCAAAACTAGTACTAAAGAAATTGCTTATTGAAAAACATTCAAGGGAGGTTTTGAAAGTCTATGAAGAAAATCCAGTGAACCGTTCTTAAAATATCTTGCTGACAATTAACATGCTAAAATCTTCAAAGTGTTGTTGTGACCCTAAAAATAATGTGAAGGTCACTTAAATTGACTGGGCCCTGGGCCTTCCCTAGATGAAGCTTGGTGTCAAATATGAAGAAAATCCAGTGAATATTTTTTGCGATATCTTGCTGACTATCTTAACATGCAAGTTAACATGCTGAAATCTTCAAAGTGTCGCCATGACCTTGAAAATTATGTGAAGGTCACCCAAATCGACTGGGCCCTGTGCCTTCCGTAGATAAAGCTTGGGGTTGAATATGAAGAAAATCCAGAGAACGGTTCTTGAGATAGCTTAACATGCAGGTAAAACGTTAAAGTCCCCTTGTGACCTTGAAATGAAGGTCAAGGTCACCAAACCTGACTTGGACCTTTCTTATACTGTGATGAACCTAGGTACCAAATATGAAAAGAATCTAGTGAACGGTTCTTAAGATATTCCAATTCATCGTATGGACGGAGCCTAATACTATATCCCCCGCTTCGCGCTAAACGCGCGGCAGGGGATAATAAGCTTCACACATTGTACCCACTGTGGGGAATCAAACCCAGGCCTTCGGCATGACAAGCAAACACTATAACTACTGGACAACCCCATCGCCCTCTTAAAGTCAGTTTCTTTGGTGGGTAAATTAGGAAAACTTTCATTTTTCTTTTTTAACATGAACTTATCTTGCAGTTGTAACTTTCTGATACAAAATTTAAATTAAGACTAAACTTACAACTAAATGTGAAAGTTCCACTTTTCAAACAAGAAGTAACAGTTTGTATCCCAAATGGGTCTCAACCCCAAAAAGGACTAGAATCTATACTTTACTGAAGATGTAATTGTAAATATATCCTGTTAGTATTTGAATGATATAACAGTTTGTCAGTTAGATGTGTGTGTATGGGGGGAAGCCCATCTTAGTGAGACCCACAAACATGGGCATGGTGCAGACAAACCTAGATTTGTTTGTTTGTTGTACACCGCACTCAGCAATATTCCAGCTATATTGCGGTGGTCTGTAAATAATTCAGTCTGGACCAGACAATCCAGTGATCAACAGCATTAGCATCAACCTATGCAATTGGGATACAATGACATGTGCCAACCAAGTTTACGAGCCTGATCACCACATCCTGTTTGTCGCCTCTTGCGACATTGGCTGCTGAAGACAAAGTCTAACACGGATCTTCATGGGTCAGACAAATCTAGAAACCACAGCACTAACATTGCTGTCGAATAAGGTACACAAAGTATATATCAGCCTTGCCTCAATCTGATAGCCAAGCCTGTTGACACAATATAAATTTTAAAAAAAAAATCAATAGCGTAAGTTACCAAATACCAGGAAGTAAACATAGGTGGGACCATCTCATAACCTGAAACAACTTTATGAGAAAAGTGCTTTTCATACATTCATTTCTATCAAAACTACTTCAAACATTGATTCCCATGTGGGGAAACGAACCCAGGTTTTCCACGCTTAACCACCAGGCTACCCTACCACCCCTTCCATAAATATCTACCAGGGATTTACTCGGTTCCTGTATATGAGGGTCCCTTGGACTGGTACTCTTAATTTTCACGGGTCCTGGACTACAAAATGGGGGTCCCAAACACTTATATATTTTATTAATACTGTTATCGTATTGTGAATCATGTTCATCAGATAAATTGTTACAGAATTTAAATTGCAAATAATACCATAACCCAGCTAGCAACCTCAGATAACTTATTGTTACTTGATTGGAATTTTTACAAAAAAGCATTTGGACTTTTTCTGTGTCCCTGTGGACGTGATAATAAATTTCGTTGCGTCCATTGTCAATTTTTATGAGTATAGGATGCAGGAATTCGTGTCCTGTAAATCCCTGATCTACCCCACATGCTACTAAGTAGAACATATTCAACCAATTAGAAATTAACTATTTCTTGATTCAGATGTCACTGTCGCCTAACATTGATTTCTGACACATCAAGGGTGGAAATGTTTGCTTGTTAATGGGGATGGACAGTGGAGTGTCAAAGAGCATCACATTATATTGCCAAACCAAAGGCTGTATTGTTATATATATACATTATAATTCCAAATTTAGAATTCAGAAGCAATCTGAAAAATTACTGCATAAATTGACGTTTAAAAATAGAACAAAACAAGATGCTGGTAATGCTGTTTTCTCCAGATAATAACAGTAAATATTGACCAAATATTTTTTGTTTGTTTAGGACAGAAGCTTCCCCAGTTAGGATTTTTCTTTCATATTTGAAACAACTGACCAATCTGCTATTATTGAGACCCATTTGTTATTGACAAAAGTGTAAAGTGTGCATGTACATAAGGGAGGTAACTGCAAAATAACTTTTCGCGGGTGTTTGGCAAGTGGATAACATCAAACACAAGTTAAGAATCGCTATTTGAAATCTGATATAATGCACATTCAAAAATAATTTTGTGATACGATTTGTTGCAAGAACAAGTGAGTGAGTGAGCGAGTTGGGTTTTACGCCGCTTTTAAATAGCAATATTCAAGTAATATTATGGCAGGGGACACCAGAAATGGGCTTCACACACTGTACCCATGTGGGGAATCAAACCCGGATCTTTGGTGTGACGACTGAACGCTTTAACCACTAGGCTACCTCACTGCCCCCTTGAAAGAAAGAACCACAACATATATACCGATAATACAGCACACCATAAGTTGTTCCTCACCTCCTTTAGGTAGCTGGCTCCTGCCGATCAAGTCCCAGTTCGTGCCGCCACTAAACAAGACCTCCCCACTCAGCATGGATCCCTCAAGGGTCTGCAACAAACATCACAGGGTTCACTCACCCACCAAACACTAAAAAAGGTATACATGTTTTCTCAATACACTTCACAGCCATTTCAGGTAGGCATTTGTGATATTCTACAAAATTGGACACAAATTTTTAACATTCTCCATTTAATTAATTTGAGGAATTGGGAAAATTTTAATTCAGTTTGTGAATGATTACTGGCATTTGCTACAGATTTGGGTCTGTAAATAATCGAGTCTGGACCAGACAATCCAGTGATCAACAACATGTGCATCGATCTGCGCAATTGGGAACCGATGACATGTGTCAACAAAGTCAGTGAGTCTGACCACCTGATCCCGTTAGTCACCTCTTACGACAAGCATGGGTTACTGAAGGTTCATTCTAACCCGGACCTTCGCGTGTCCATTTATTTATCAACGGGTTGTTGATCATCATATAGTCTGGACAAACGTTTATTCAGGGCTGAGGTAATATGAGAGATGACTTAAATCAAGAGCAATGTAAGTAGACAGATTCAGCCTATGGTTCTCACGCTGCAACTGCCTTTGATGAATATGCATACTGGTATATAATTGCAAACATATAAATAACACACTACTGAAAACACTTCTCCTTAATGAATGTTTACCTACACTTTTCATCTCACTACTAAATATATGCAAAACACATCCCTTATCTAAAATCCACACTAATGCGTTTCTGTGAATTAAAAAAAGAGAGACTATATTCATATGCAAGATCAGACAATGAAAAAAACTCCACAAATCTAAAAATAGAAACACTATGCTCAGTTCCAGAACAAAATACAACAATCTAAATTCAACAATGTTATCATACAATATTTGTTACATAACTGGCAGAATATTTCCTTATATCTTGTTACGGACCCACTGACTATCACAGGCATATCTGACATTTCTCATTGTTTTGGTTGTGCTAATTCTTTACAGGAAACTGACGAAAACATTATGACAACATTGAGTATAACACCACGATCAAAACAATTATTAGTCACACAATTCATCGTCATCTCTGATTTATGTAGAGCCGTGACAGGTTCACATGAGTACACGCCATGGAAATTTACTGAATCAACTGATATGTAGAACCGCCATACATCACCAGTGCCCAGCTCAAATCATAAAATCAATAACACTATCCCCAGTTGCGTCTGAATGTCACCCCTAAATGAAGGCAACTGGCTTCACGACCTGCTTTTATTAACGAGTACAACACAGATCATTGCATGACACAAATTTCATAAAATAAATCGTCTCGTTCAGTAGGGTAGTCGTGGTTTAATATTGATTCAGAACCCATTGTTTCCTTCTAACAAAGCAGACGTCATTCAAACCTACGGCATTACACTTGGCCAAATTACCATTTATTATACGAGATCGACACATTACGGAACATAACCCGAGTCCGACCAATCAAAACATATGTGATGGATTGAAAGGTGGATATTTAATGTTTTCTTACGATATCGATGTCATCATCGGGTTCATTGTTCATCGGTGTCGCTCCATTTCCAGCTCCGTGGTCGCTATCGGAATCGTCAGAATCGTCGTTGTTCTTCTTCTTCTTGCGTTTCTTTACTTGTACTTTACCCTCACCCTCTGGGTTTCGCTTCTTTGGAGGCATGTCGGCTGCTTGTAAGAGCTTATTTGTCAAATCGTCAACAAAAACCGCGAAACCCTTTATCATGCAATGGTATAGACTCTCGCACTTTCGCGATCTCGCGCCACGTGCTCGAGACCGTCCTGATTGGTTGATCGTGTAAACGCGCGTAAAATAATCATACTATAATACTAAGCGCAATGTAGACGGAACCTAGTCAGGAACTAATCCTAATAACTAGGTTGGCAGCATTTTGCCTTCCAATGAAATAATTTTTAACACGCATCTGAAGCTCAGAGGTAGTACCTACTTTTCACGATAGATTTTATGTTTTAGGGAGTTTTGTTTCTAACGACGGCATCAAGTTACATTCAAATATATTTACAATAAATTACGTTTATTAGAACACGCAAATATATACAACGACCTGACGGTTGTAACGAACCGTTCTACCTTTATATTTTTGGTCCCTGTCAGTTATTCAATGTTTTAGTCGAAATGCTTAAAACAAATTACGATTAAAACGATCAAAATTACCGGCCCCTTTGAATTCGTTATAACCGTAGCACACTGTAGTTGTCAAATGCATCATTTTCGCATTTCAAAACTTATAAATTGAGAAGCTTACTATGTGCCGTTCAATAACATCACAATCAAAGCATTTTTCGAAAAATGAAACGTGAAAGTCTTTTGGATAAAAATATAAAAAGAATCGAGCCACAAATTTTCACTGATTATTGATACACTTAACCCTTCTTGTGAACCCAGATTCTGCTGATCCATCACTGAAGTTTCGAATGTTTACGCCGCTTTTAAATAGCAATATTCCAGCAATATCACAGCGGGGGACACCAGAAATGGGCTTCACACATTGTACCCATGTGGGGAATAGAACTCGGGTCTTCGGCGTGACGAACCAACGCTTTAACCATTAGGCTGCCCAACACAGCCGCCCCGAGAATCGAACCACAGAAACTCTGCGCTAAGACCTGATGCTCTATCTGCTAGACCACAGATCGAGGTGCTTTTGAGGTGAGGTGAGGTGAAATTGGGTTTTACGTCGTGCTTGAGAATATTTCGCTCATATGACGACGTGCATGCGTGTGTATGTGTATGTGCGGCTGCTTGTACTAGCCCAGACTTAAGCTGGTTTTATAGTGCTAGCCCACTGAGATACCACGCCGCAGTGAAGCATGAATACCCCACTCAGACACATTATACTGACTCCGAGCCGACCAGTCCTTGTTGTACCCATTAATGCCGAGCGCCAGGCAGGGACCAACAAGTACCATATTTTAACGTCTTTTGGTATGACGCGGTCGGGGAGGGTGCTTTTGAGAGCTTAATAAAACGTATCTGTTTTTATTTTATCATTTGCACATAACATTGACTTTATTAAGGGTAAATAATTATTCACATTTTGCAAACTTTTCGCCAGAGACCTTATACCGATAACCATATAACTGTATATGGTCTCTTTTCGCATATGACTGTTCTATCAACGTTTAGTGAAGGGCACTTTGAAAATCACAAAAAGCTTTGCATTTGGCCCCGCAAGTACTAAATCTTGTGAAATCGGAAAAAAACATCTTCATAATTACTGGTGTAGGCTGCAAGGTCTAAAGTTACCAACAACAATTAATACGACGCTGTCTGGGTCAGCTTTTGACTGTGAACTGACCCCACCTCTGGCGATGCAACTGAAAGAGGAAGATAACCTTCCTCTGACGAAGTTACTGAAATGTGAAGTTGTCCCACCTCTGACGAAGCCTTTGACGGTGATGTTGCCACACATTTGACAGTGAAGTTGCCTCACCTCTGAGGATGCCCCTGACGGTGAAGTTGCCCCACCTCTGACGGTGAAGTTGCTCCACTGACGATGTTTTTGACAGTGACGTTGCATAGTTCTGAAGATATCTTTCACGATAAAGCTGAACCCACCACTGACGATGCCTTTGAAGATGAAGTTACCCAACCTCTGACGGCGATGCTGGCCATCTCCGACGAAGCCTCTGGGGAACGTGGACAGCTCAGCTGACCATGCAACTGACGGTGAAGTTGTCTCGCCCTCGACGGAATGATGCTTAGTTTTCTCGTGTTCAGTTTACTGATGAAGTTAAACGACGGTCTCCATTTAACAGTACAACAAATATGCGTCAAGTGCTTGCAAGCAATGAACAAAGGCAAGGACAGACTCATTATACCTGCTGCCTTAGAAAGTCAGCCAAACTGCCGGACACTCGTACGACAGAAGACACCTGGAACTGCTAGGCGTGGGACGGTGTCCAGGTAAACAGGTAAACCACAAGGGTCCAACCGTTGGAAAGAGCAGAAACCTCTAAACAGACAGACAGACATGTTTATTTGTATATGTGGCCCTGAGGCCAATAGTACATGTGTACAATAATAACAGTGCATTTATGCGCAACCTGTAAATACGCGAGTTATAGGAACATCAATAAATCCATAAACACCCATTCACAATTTACATTTTTTCTCTCAACATAAGTATGTGGTACAACACAAGGGCTACCTTAAACAACAAGTCAATATTTTCTGTGCGAAGTAGCATACAGAATTTTTGTCTCGACGGTTGGTTATAGAAAAAATAAGGCAAATATGTTTCTCTTATTTCTAAATATTTCGGGCATATAAGTAATACATGGTACTCATCTTCTTGCGATAAATTGCAGAATGGACATTGGGTATCTAATGCATTTGAAGTTTTGGCAAATCCGTCCGCTTGGACTTTGAAGTTGTGAGCGTTACATCTAAATTTAGTAAGCGTACGCTTAAGTTGTGGTGATTTAATCTTTGAAAGGTAAATTTCTGTATTAATACAATATTTATATTCTGAATAAAAGTTGACACAGGTTGATGACGTTATTTCATTATACCAGTCCTGTTGAAAAATGTCTTTGCATCTCTGCTTGAATACTTCGATGAAATATTGTGTATTACTTACATTTTGAGCGAGCCATACATTTCCAAAGCCATAACTAAAAAGAATAGTTCTAACGAATGAAACCCAATTAATATCTCCGGTATCATCTAGTGTTTTAAGCATTTCATAACTACATCTTGAATATCGTGAAATTGGTTGTCTCATCAATCTTAGCCAATATGAAATAACCCGACATCGGGCGTTAATAAACAGTGGAAAACGTGCACATTCAGCTAAAATAATCTTGTTCGCAGTTCTGTAGCGAACACGCAACAAGAACTTACAGAACTTTGAATGTACCTTTTCAATATTCTTGTTTATGTTAATGCCCCATATTTCAGAGCCGTACAACAAAATTGGTTGAATTTTTCCATCAAACAGTTTAAATGATGCATGGATCGGTAATTCTTTATATTTGCATATGAATTTCTTTATGACATGTAGGGCTCGTTCAGCTTGCATAGATAATGTTTCACAGGCTCTGGAGAATATATTTCTACACGAAAATATAATACATACAATAATAATACCACCTCAATTTTTGGCCATTAAGGAACCATTTTTTCACTTTTAGAGATTTTGACACCCATTTTTTAAAACCATTACTGTTTCGTTTTAACGATTCTTCTTTTAGATTTCAGACACATTCAGAGGCCGATAACCACTGAAGACGCCCATTTCAAACAATATTCAAACCTCTAAACACATAGGTTTACAATGTAGCCACTTCGTACGACAGAAGACAGCATGGGGTATATTTTCCTTTTTCTCCCGTTGGAAAGAGAAACTTCTAAACACATTTTTATGTCGATTGTCAGTTTTATGATTGATTTTACTTACGAATAGCTGAAAGAATGTTTGGCGTTCGACCTTGTTCATTTGGAATTATACACCCTCTTCCATTCAATCTTGAAATTCAAACATTGTAATCATACGCGCATGACTACCACGGTTCTGAAAATACTCGAAACATAATTAGAGCTAATCTCGGAAAAGGTTCGAACAGTCATTATCTCCTGGCACACATAAGGGACGCAACTCTGTTTCATATTTGTTCCATGATGAGTGTTCTTTTTAAACTTTTGTTTTACGTGTCATTTGGATTTGGTCTTCTCACTTAGTAATGGAATAAATGAACAGATAAAAAAGATAAAAAGACTAACAAACAAAACTTGAATTCCTTTCAGACATCTACAGGTTTTGATCATATATACCGGTACTGTTGGAAAGGGGCGTTATGTTTATATTTTTGTCTTTTGTCCAGGCGCACTTGTAAAATTGACGCAGTAGTTTATTGATTTCCGTGGGTCAGTTTTTCAAATGTTTACAGAGGGAATTACGATAAGCTGTATTTTTAACCGTGTGTTGAGTAACTAGTTTGTATGATTCTCTATTTATATATCAATGGAGATATCTTGCTTTTGATATACATGTATGCAGTACATCAACTTGAATAACTGTAGAATGAAATTCGTCGTTTACCGACAATATTCATATATTGACACTAATCCAAGAAGTAAAGAGCTCATCATGTTTAGAAATATGGGGTAAAATACTAAAATGCCATACGTAGATGTTGTTCCGTATTTATTCCCAATATGAAACTACAAGTTGAGCGGTCATCAGTTCGTAAAAGTGAGCGAGTTTGGTTTTACTCCGCTTTTAGCAATATTCCAGCAATATCACGGCGGGGGACACAAGAAATGGACTTCACGCATTGTCCCATGTGGGTATCTAACCCGAGTCTTCGGCGTGACGAGAGAACGCTATATCCACTAGGCTACCCCACCGCCCTAGTTCGTAACAGAACAAGAAACCACAGACAGTTCGATTCCCCACTGATGACTGACTGAATGTTTTAAGCCCATTTCTGGTGTCCCCGCCAATACTAGAAAGCGGCGTTCACACTAAACTCAGTCAGTCAGTCAGTCGGCGTGACGAGCGAACGCTATATCCACTAGGCTACCCCACCGCCCTAGTTCGTAACAGAACAAGAAACCACAGACAGAGTGATATAAATGAATTAACAACTGTATTCTAATGTTAACTAATTTTGAATTGTTAATTAATACAAATCACTACAAAGATATTACAATGACGGATGAAAAGAGAGTGACAGTACAAACTCAGTATAATGCAAAAGTAGTGATGATAGCAATAAAGTTG